CATCCAATGGCCAGGACTTGAGATAGGTAGAATTCTGCATAAAAGCAATTTGAAATAAATCAAACACCGACAAAATGCCATTTAACGATCATTCACACTTAACGCATTAATAATAATATATAGGCATGGGTGTAAAGTCAATAGGGAAGCACGGGCGTATGGCAGCATTCTATTGAAGGGGTGCACCGGGGGGGGGGGGGGGGGGGGGGGGTCTGATATGCCAACAACATGAAAAAACTAATAAACTCAATCATTTGCTAAGGGAATCACCCACTAGTGACTACTCAAACGTTTGGAAACCCATATTTCGAAGGTAAGTATGAGGAAGAAAAATGCAAATGATTTTCGTATAATCCCTTCAACTATTTGCATGTTACGAAACAATCAAATATAGAGAGTATCAGAAATACATAGGGAAGAAGGTGTCAAATGGCTAGAAGCAGCTTTCATAATTCATAATGATAAATTGTGCATATAATTATTATGCCGTTGTACGATTAATCATAAAGGCCTGGGCAAAATGTTCTCTGCATATCAACAAACATACTTTGAGAAGAAGAAAAAAACATTCTCTTTAATTCAAAGTCGTTTTACAACTTTTTGAGCATCACATAATACATTCAGCTAAACTTGACACGAGGTTATTTTCCGCAAATAATATTATTGTTTATTCTGAATTTTGCAGAAATTAGATATATACGAACCCTTGTGCAATTTAACGTTGGAAATTTGGAATTGAATTAGGGCCTTGAGCGAAGAATACACGTTTAGCTGACCAAAAGTGCAAGTGGTTTCCACTCCCCGTGGGATCATAAAATATGTCATCTAGATCGTTTGCCTGTAGGTCTGGAGTATTGATGGTCGTTAAATACCTTTGAAAGGTCATTATATCTTATTTTTATCTGACAATTTGAAGCGTTAAAGAGAATCAAAATAAGTTATAAACAAGGCATATACAAGTCTCCAGCGGTAAGGAAAAGACAAGCATAATTTAAGATATTTTCAAGCCGTGTTCATAGTGACGTCTGAGTTGAGCAGTCCGTTACGGTTGACAGCAATCAAACTCAGTTCAATGATTTTGGGGTGATCTTTACTGAGCAAGTGGCTCGTCTCAAAATCTAGAAAGACAAAGCTATTAATGGAGAACCCTGTTGCATTATCCATGGCTAACGATGATGAAGCCAAGTCCCTTGAAAAATCCGTGATATTCTTCAGAAAGAAAAGAGATGGAACAGAGTAATACAAAATATCTTTGCTTTGTAGCTACTTAACACACTACATATTCATGACTCAGTTCTATTTTGGGGTCTCCTTTACTAACATCCTCTGTACAAACATGGTTCGCGTCATGAAGCCTGGCACGCACGAGCTGGATTTCCGCATTTTTGTTTAAAGCCCTGGGTATACCAGAAAAAATTATTGATTCGAGTACCGTTATTTTGTTTGGGTATACCAATGACCTTTAGTATAGATAATAGCAATGGGGGAGCTGATGCGATAACCCCATGTAAAGACCCCCCCCCCCCCCCCCCCAACAAAAAAAAAAACAAAAAAATTAAAAAAAAATGTGTGTAGACTTTAAGTAGGTATGTGTCGACACAATTTAAATGAGTAAACGTTGTTCATCTTCTGAAATAATATTGATTTAATTATTTGAAATAATGCATAACTTGCATACTTATTTAATTAATTAGTAGAAAATCTGTATTCCGTTTTTATACTATAGTTTTGCTAAGGAACGTCATTTTTTAATACAATAAAACTTCAAAAACCTGTGAGGGGGTAGTCACTTCCGTCACCTTCGCTCCTCTCGTTCACTACGCTCCCTCGTCCCTCGCATTTCGTTCCCCGGTCATAAAAAGAAATCGCCGCCCCTGCTACTGCTACATCAGTAATGGAAAGCAAATCATTTGGTACTACAATCATCTACAATAAGCCGGTTTACTGATATATTTTCAATTTATACATCTATCTCTGCCTATACCCCAGGGGCCCGTTTCCGAAAGCAACGACAATACAGTCATATAACTTTATCCGCCAGAGAACGTCTCTGATCTTCCTAAACCGTTTCACGAGGAGCGTACATCCTACCAACGTTCACAACATAAATAACATTACACCCATAGCAACCATCAAATCTAAAACTGTCACTCTGACAAAAGAGCAAAATATACAATATTTTGGGATTAGCCTGCTGAACTACTAGCACGAAGAGCCGGTTTTTGTTCCACGGTATTTCACAATACTTGTATTCTGAAATCGAAAATGTACCTCGAGAAATGTATAGGTAACAATGTTTAAATGTACATTCGACATTCGACAATAATATTTAAACTTCGTCAACATCAGAGGCGGCCCTCCCGGGGGGGGGGGGGCAGAGGGGGCACAGTGCCACCCTACTTTTTCACGCACCCGAAAAGTGCCCATTTTTACACAGGAAAAGTACCCCTTTTTACATGGGAATAGTGCCTCTTTTACTTTGACAAGTGCACCCATTAATTAGTAAAAGTGCCCCTTCAACTTTTCAACTCTGATAAGTGCCCTTTTATTTGGTAGCGTGACCATTTTCCTTTGCAATAAGTGTCAATTTTCCATTCTCATAAGTGCCCTTTCTCTGGTAAATGACCCTTTTCAGGTATGAGAAGTTACTCCTTTTCACTTCAGATAAGTGCCCCCTTCACCTCTGATAAATGCCCCTTTAATTTAAAGGGGCATTTATCGGATTTTCTTTCAAATAATAAACATTTTCCTCTATTATAAGTGTCCCATTTCATATTTGGTCATTGCCCCTGTTCAAGTGCGATAAATGCCTCTTTTCACCTCTGACAATTTTCCTTTTAACAATGATACGTGCCCCTTTTCATTTCTAATAAGGGACCTATCCCCTTTTCCGTCGACAAATGCCCGTTTCCTATTCTCATGACTGACTTTTTCTCCCTGGTGAGTGCCTATTTTTAAAGGTGTAAGCAGTGTCCTATTTTCACCTCTGACAACTACTCCTTGTACTTTGACACATGCTCCTTTTCTTTTCTGATAAGTGTCCCCTTTTCCTCTCATCATTAAACTTGGCTCTAATTTCGAGCTACTAAGAGCAATTTCCCCCAAAGCTTGCATCTATAGATGATATACTTATGTAACTTATCAAAGGTCTTTTCAGGTTTCCATTATGAGAATGTGCTTATTACCCCCATCAGGATTGTTTTTCCTCTTTAAAAGATGTAATTTTTCGCACTGCGACCTCACAAATCTTAAAACTGCAAAGCATGATGCTTAAGCAATATCTTGGATGGTATATATAGTGAAGGAAATATTGTAATCACAATGTAAGGGTATATACTGGGGCCCCAATTCGTGAGAAAATAAACGGGGGGGGGGGGTAGTGAGCACTAATTTTTTTTTTAAGGGCCCGGGCCCCCTGACCCCTAGATCCGCCCCAAAATTTGATATAAGTCTTTTTGATATTTTCTTTTCCGGATACAAATACTGAATTTATGAGTCTACTTATAGTCACAATATTATATCATTTTCACTTTTAACTGATGAGATATATTGGAAATAAAGGAATGATTAGTCAAAGACTTCAATATGAACTAAAACCTACTAACAGCTATGAATCAATTATATTTTGAAAAATGTAAAAGTTTTCTTGACTCAATAAGCTTCTACATACTTACTTTGATGTATATAATTATGTGCTCTCTTGCCTTACAGTGTACTTGTTTATGGGGTGGGGTGAGTGGGGTTCAGGCCTTCCAGGGGATTAATATTACAAATGTTAAGCGTCTTTATCCCGTCACATTTTATAATGGTCTATAAAGTGTCTTCCATATTCTACTAGTATTTTTGTCACAGGCCCATCTAACATTTTGTTTCCTTTTTGTCTTAAGGTTGGTTTGTTTTGTTTATTATCATGATTTTTATGTTCCAGTTCCCTTTGTATTGTACGTAATGACGTAACATCAATATACATATATATATATATATATATATATATATATATATATATATATATATATATATATATATATATATATTAAATGACATTGTGGAAATAAAAGCGTAGATCTAAGCACTTTAGTTCAGTGGGGATAAAGCCTTGGATAGCTAGCACGACATATTTTCAGGTATTCATAATTTATATAAAGAAGCATGAATCCCTGTTTAAGTGAATGTGTAGAAAGATCATGGCGGTAGATTTTTTGCCAGCCATGGTCTACCAACTAAATGACATTTGATAATAATAATAATAATAATAATAATAATAATAATAATAATCTTTTAAAGTCCATGCACTCCAGATTTGATGGCACTGTCCATCGACTAAAAAAGTTATCAGTGGCAGAGATATGACAAGGTCGATCGTATAGACGTCATTGAACTACTTAGTCAGAAAGTTTAGGCCTTGATCTTGGCAAAGAGGGCTTCGTGAAACACGTAGCGGACAAGTAATTTACTAACGCTCATTTAGTACTAGCAGATAGATTCATGACGGTTTCGAGAAACGAGGCACAAGTAGTTTACTAGCGGTGATCGACTGGGAAACTTTCATTCACCTATATGGACTTTACATGCATTCATTTGTGCTATGTCGAACAAACCTCTAACAAGCGCTTTAGTTGTCGATATCAAGTTTTGTTAAAAAGATATGCATAAAATTAAAATACATGACAGGTCTGCACTTCATGAGCCCCCCCTCTCCCCCCCCCCGCCAAAACCCTAATAATACTGTCGTGTACATATACTTAACCTACGTCCCATAATCATCTCTCAACATACCTGTTCTACTAGGCCTACAGTCTACAGGTATTCTTTTGAGGAATATCCAACATAATTTTAGGTTAAGATAATATGAATATGACTAAGTTTATTTAATTTTTTTGAGATATAAATTAATTATTCTCAATAATAATGTGGGAAGTCATAATTTAATTATTTCCCCTTTATACTTTGCAAATATCATTAGCGCATTTCACCTGGAGGTGAGGTTACGGTCAAGCTTGAGCCACGTCTATATTCAATATGGCAGCCTCCGTGCGAAGGACGCGATTCCCCATCGTCTGCTTATTGTTGCTGATTTTCAGCGTTTACAACAGCGCCCATGATCCTCATGAAACAGAGAGTGGACATAGCCATGAACATTCTCACGCCGAATCCACCAAAGTAAAATCTTCGGAGGGAAATGTGTGGACAGATGCTATAGGAGCCACAGTTTTGATCTCTGCTGCCCCGTTTGTGATCCTGTTTGTGATCCCGTTGGACAAGGGGCGCGAGGGACAGGAGTCGCTGCTGAAAGTGCTGCTGAGCTTCGCGTCAGGTGGACTGCTCGGTGACGCGTTCTTGCATTTGATCCCACATTCACTTTCGCCGCACAGTCACGGCGATCATGGACATGATCACGAACATGAGCACCAACATCATGAACATGAGCACAGTCACGATCATGGCCATAGTCACGGTCATGACCATTCACGCCCAATGCTTGTTGGTAAATTGAAACTTGTTCTTCTCCAAATTTCATTAACTCAAGGCTTTGTCCTCGTCTTTCTTCTTTGATTTTTAAGTTGAACTAAAATCTCGAGTCAGTTTGATTATTAAAGGTATTACAAAGTTTTGGGAAAATTTCAAAATGATTGGATCATGAAATCAAAAATTTTCATTACCATTGTGTAACATAGTGCTATATCACTTAACTGTAAAAAGAATTCACTCTAAAATGCTTTTTATTTGGAGTAATTAATATTTTAAAAATTTTAAAAATTTACCGGTACTCCCGGTAAATTTGGTATAGCTCCCTCTCAGTTCAAAAATTTACATGTCATCTGAACAGCATAACACATATATAGCACTATTCTTAAAGTGTAATAATTAAAATCTTTTGACACCAAGTCATATTACCCGACTAACGAAATATATATAATCATGCAAATAAATTTTGTGAAATTAAGTTGCCGTAGTAAATGATTATTTTACTGTCTCGTAATTTTTTTGGAAAAAAATACTTGTCCGTAGACTGTAATCGCAATGTATAATGGTATAATCGATCGAACCGCCGCTATCTTTACTGTACTTCGACACGCAAATCTATCCCTTTGCTACGGAACTTCAGTGCTGTTTCTCTTTAGCTTTCTAGCCGGGAAATTTGTGTGTATATTGCGCGCCTCTTGTGAAAATGTCGGACTCGGAGCCCGAGCTTCCCGGAGGTTGTGGTGGAGCTTATGGAGTGGAAGAGCCCCAGCCCCAGGCCCAGTGGAAGCGCTACGGTGATTCAAGAAGAAGGGCGAATGCTGCGTATGAAGAAAGAGAAAAAGGCCTTAGTTGTCGAAGGAGCTGCAGGAAGAGAGTGGTGTTGAGCGAAGAGACATTCCGACGATGGAAAAGAGTCAAAGAGAACGAGTTTGATGATTCAACCAACGACGAATTTGCGTCCTCCCTACTGGACAGGTGAGCTCTACAAATTATTTTAAAAATAGGGCCTATATAAAATCTAGATTCTAGAGACTAGAGTCTAGACTAGATTCTAGATCTACTCGTCTGCTCGTCTTTGACTGGCATGCTTTTCTTTTTTAACTTCAAAGTTCAACTCTTCAGTTCAAGTATTTGTTTTACCTGGCATCGCAAGTCGCCAAAACATTTATCTAGACCCCTAGGATCTAGTCCCTACCTAGTTCCAGGGAAAAAAAACAATATTTATTTTTCGGGGGCTACTTTTCAAGCTTGCCTGCATAAAAATAACACTCTTAAATTTGTTTTGCATTGAACCCTAGGTCTATGCAAATTTACGGGGGCTCTTTTCTGATTTTCGGGTGCTCTTTTGGGCATTTCAGGGGCAAATTCGCCCTGAGCCCCCGTGTATTATTTTCACTGCCTAGATCTAGATCTAATACTTTACTCCATCGATGCTTGTTGTAGGGCAATGCCTGTTTCATTTATGAAGGGATGACCAAAGTTTGCGCAGATTATAGAACATAGACTATTATTATTCAATCCATGTTTTCTCATAATCTAGGGTCTACACAAATTTATTTCTTTTGATTAATACCAAATGGACGGCAAAGTATTTTACTACCAATTGGTTCATCTAGAAAATTTATCGTCCAAGCCTTTCAGAGATATCGCGATCTAAAAATTAGATGTCTGATCGTGCGTGCGCGCTGCATCCAAAAAAAAGTCATAAAAAGAATGAGGCCATCGTGGATTATAATGTAGACTCTAGATCTAGGCATGCATGATCGGTTACAACCCTGGTTTGATACCTAGATAGATACATTTTTGTCATTGCTTTGATTTTTTTTCAGTTTCCTAACTGCCAGTACATCATCAGCTACCACTACCAGTAGATCTAGACCATCAGCTGAAATACCTTCCAACTCTGCATATGTTGCTGAGATGAAAAAGCTGAGAATGTAAGTCAGAGCAAACATGAAAATATCAATTTTTAATCCTTTGTATTTTTTCATATTATAAATGAGGATTACAAGTTTAAGTATAAAATAAACAGACCTGTACGGGGGTATTGTTATATAGGAAATTCATAGCTTATAGAGTACCAAAGTGTGATGTCATACAAGTTGTCAAGGGTGCTGGTTCTACACATTTTTGAGTTGAACAATAGCGTGATGATCACACCAGCAGCACACACTGAAGTTGCCCTGCTCTGTTTGTTCTTGCCCTTTCTTGAATGGCATCACGATGTATAGATCCAGGTATTATTTTCCAAGTTGATTTTCAATGCAGAACTTGCTGTGAAAATGAGCATCTTAAAAAAAAAATCTGTTCACTGCACATGTATGGGAATTTGAATATTTGATAGGGAAGACATGATGCGTTTTTTGTCATGACTACTGGTAACCACTATGTTGGTGAGATCAGGGTTGTCTGGGATCAATCATTTGGGTAGAGCACAAACCTAGTAAAATGACACGAACAATTCAATACATACAATACATTGATCATACTGTACTTGCACTTTGTTTTAACTTGTACAAGTTGTAGCTGTACATAATTGATATATTTATGAAAATTATTAACCTACAGGCAACCTTGCTCATCGTCTACACCACACCATGGAACGGATGTTCATTATGACAGGTATGTACAGATCGGAGCAATCATGGTATTTTCTAGTATACATGTATTAAGTTGTGGAAATGTTGATGTTCTATTTGTGCCTATATGAGACAAGGAATGGATGAGCCATTTTGTCTGTAGATGGGCATTTAGTATTGTTATTAGCAGCATAATACAAAAAGGTTTCATGGAGTCGTAGATCGGGTTTACACATCAATATTTAAATCATTTGTGAATCCACAATAACCAATGATTGTTAAAGTTTGAAATTGTAAATAATAGACTCTTTTATAGTTTAAAGCCCCCTCTCCAAAATGATTTCACTTTACATGTAGGTTTATGGTGTAAAGCCCCCCCCCCCTCCCCCTCCACCCTCCACATTGTCATCACCATTGCCTTAAAGAAGGGTTCATTTTGGTATAGTGCGAAGTTATTTTAGAACTGCCTCACCTGAGTTTGTAAAGGTGCTATATGAAGATCGTGGGGAGCCGTATTGAATGTTATTGATTTCTTGAAAACCAAAGTGTTGTACATGTAGTTGCTACATTTTCTAGTGCATAACAAATTTCCTGAGTGTCATCCAAATATTCAGCCCAATGTTAGCATACATGTAAAATCTGTATATCGATAACAACAACAAATCCTCACGTTACCATGATTTACTTATTATGCTGATACATGTTTGTTAATTATTCTAACTTTTAATGTTGACAGTACATAACTACATAATTAATGGTAAAAGAAATATTCTTATGAAGCTAGTGGCCTAGTACTCTGAAATTGCCCATCATGCAATGCATTTTTTAGTCAGTATGAGACAAACTTTTCCCCAGTATTTGAAAATTTGGTGTGATAACAGTATAGCAAAGTATTTATGAAATTCTGATGAGTTTTTGTTTAAATAATTATTATTACCGGTATGTATTGCAATATTATATACAGTAGTAAGTGATGTCATGACTGAATGTATGATAGCCAATTCAATATGTTGTTTTTTATTCAGCTCCGAAGATGTCATTTCAGCGCCCTCGGAAGTTGGGTAAGCATTGCTATATTCACAGCTTTTAGAAATGATCCCTCCAAAAAAATAACAAGTTATGCCTGTGTACATACAGTACATTGTGCGCAATGATTGTATCATAATGTTATTTTCTAATGGGTATCTTCATTTAAACTACAGGTACATTGGCACTTACGGTGTTTTCCTTGAAGTAGAGCAATGTACATTATGTACTGTATTATGCTACAAGACGCCTAAAATGAAATATCTTACATTGTGAATGAGTCGCACTGGTAGTCATTGAAGTACGTACATGTATTATATCAATTGTCATGGGGTAGGCTACAATTGAATAATTTTTTAGACAATTGATAATAGTTCCAGGTTTGGACATGCAAGACAATGCGAGCACTAAATTTAAACCTCCTAATGTTTTGAAGACATACCATGCTAAAAATCCTAATTCTTATTTTCAAATGTTGGCAGGTATGCATTTATCCAAACATAATTGTGACCACAGTAATTAAAAACTAGTGTGGCAGAATTTTTTTGAAAATAAAATGTCAAAGGTCATCATTTTTCTTCTATAATTTTGACATGAACCTGAATATGTATACGCAAAAAAATAGCTTGTGAACAAGATTGAGCTCATCTAAGTTGGGTAGCCTGCAATGAGGTTGTAGGTCACATGATAAGCATAATTTTGCAATTTTATTTTTTGAATTTCTCAAAACTGTTAAATACCCTTTAATCAAATTGCAATGTCAAAATAAACTTGTGTTGTAAACTCAAGTTATTAAGATACAAGTTGAAATACCATGTGACCTAACCCTTATCCCAACAATTAATTTGTTTTACACTATTTCATTGCACAGCTGTTTCATTATTAGCGTTGTAAGACACTAATGCAAATTGATTGTAAATGATTATCACCTTCCAATTCCCTCTCCCCTAAAATTCCAACTTCTTTTCATGAGTGTTTTAAATTCATGAGTTTTCATGATTATTACTTCCTTACTGAATGAAGTGAGTAATTTTAGTGGAAGTTTCCATAATTGTTTCCATTTCCTTGTACCGGTAGATCTTCATCTTCATGTATATCAGGGATTCAACGAGTTGACATTTCTGAAGATACATGGAAAGACAATGAACTAGAGTAAGTGTCCAAATTTGATATGTACATTATTTTTTAGTCTCATTATATTTTATGTGAATGTGAAAACCTACAATACACATGTCTTTAAAAAGCTATGTTCATACAGATATTTCTATATAAATTATGTTCTTCCTGTTCACTTTGAGTCCCTACTTTAGTCCTACACTTGATAAGCCATCCTTTGTTTTTAGCCATTTTACTATTTGATTGACACTATTGAAGTGCTTCTTGATTGTTGTTTTATTCTGATTATTTATAAACATGTAGGGCTTGGTGTTGAGAACAGTTTGACTGTTTAAAAGTATTGCAAATGATTGTTACTTTTAGTTTTAAACCTACGCTCGACTGTGACTATTTCTATTTTAAAACATCGTTTTCAAGCCAAAATGGTATGAATTTATGTAGTGTAAAGATTTCATTATTTATTTACTTAGCATCCATCTCAAACATGAAAACAATCACTGGATATTGTTGGAGCGCATACCTACCTACATGTATATTGTTGTTTTTTTATTTACGGTGTCATAAATTTGCTTTTAAGGGCAATTCCGCTGTAACTCTCATTAAAAATAATGGGACATGGAAATGATTTTTATGCTGGTATTCCGTCAGTGCTGAACAGCCAGAGAACTTCAAAATAAATTACCTATGTTTAATTTTTTTTATTTTGACATTTCAAATCGGTATTCGGTAACCTGCGTTACAAAAAAGGGACTCAACTAAAAACTTCAAGCTGAATAGAAATTATCTGAAATGTTCCCGTCTCAACATACATGTAGCAAAACCTGAATAATTTTGTTATTTTCCTAATGTGAATGTCTAAGTTACGCTAATAGTTTTAAATGTATATTGATTAAAATCATAAATGTCAGTGAATCACGTTAAATTTTTTCCATTCAATAAAAACTAAAGAATCATTTTCACTGTGTATTGAATACACAGTGCTAATGATTTTAGAATCATATCTGTTGTACAAAATTCAATCTCTTACTCTTCCTTTACACTGTATCACAATTTTAAAAATACAAAATTTAACAGCAGGGCAAGTATTATTTTACCATTAAAAGGATTTTTGTTGCTTGTACATATACATGTAGTCCCACATATAAATTTCAGATGATGTTTCCAGAACTCTCTGAATCAATCATTTTGCTTTAGTGATAGCAGGGAGATATACATGTATATTGCACTTATTGAAGATCATCCATAGTATTTTTGTTCAAAAAAATCAACTAATAATCATAAGAGGCCAATTTCTTTTTATGCTGTCATGTCCTCTAATTCGTTGAATTGCCCTAAAAGAACATTTTAATCACTCCTTTCTGAATTTACATGTACCGGTATGCCAATTTTTCAGCTTTTCACAATGTCAGTTTTATTTTAATGTTGGATTACATAATATAATTTCTGATTGCCAAATTAGCTGTATGGGTAGAGTGGAAGTGGTTTAGCAATGATTGATGTGTTCATTCTCTTTGATTCAATCAATTACAGTATAAGTGTCAGTTATAGACATGGAGAAATCGCGGAGCAAGAAGATGATGACAGTGAATTCGATGATGACGATGAACTTGATGATCCTGATTATGACCCTGACATCACAATCCATACTGGGTAAGAAGAAAAATGCCTCTCGAAATTTGAAAATGTCATTGACCAAATATTTTTCCCTAAATTGTGAATTGCATTCTGCCATGTGGCTAACTTGGCATTCATAAACAATAGTAGTAATGATGGAAGTAGTCCTGCCTGTCTAACAGTGAAAAAAAGAAGGAGTTTTATATTTTTCTATAAAATAATGTGTTAATTTAGTCATGCTGCTTAGTTACTTTTTTTCTTTCAAGTTTCGGGCATCTTTTGACTCCAAATCTGCAAAAAATAGCTACCGTACCTAACCTTGTTATGTTCAATCATACATCACGATCAAAATGTCACATTTTCATGTTTTGTGTGCAAATTCTATGCAAGTTCAAATATTTATACAAAAATACAATTTTTGTTTCTTCGAAGCATTTCATATGTTCCATTGTGCTACCAAATTAGTCCTTCCAACAATTCTGTTACAAAATCAATTAAAACGAGCACTTAAAAAACAATAAAAAATACATAAGAAATTAATGAAACAGACAAATGTTGAATTCTAAAAAATATTTGATCTTATGTGCAAATGTTTGCATTCTACATGTAGCCCATTCTGAAAGTGAATTATAGCCACAAATATGATAAACACGTATTTGCATAAATTATGAAAAGAATAATATTGCAAACCAGATGATGTTCAGTTCATGTTGCCTAATATGTGTGCAGAATTTTAGTACAAACGGCCATTGCTGACATCGCTGAGATCTCAGCGGAGGGGAGAGCTCAATGACTCCTCCCTCCCCCCCCCCCCCTGTTTTCAGCTTCCTAAATAACCTTGTCCAATTAAAGTTTAACCAAATACATGACCCCATGTCACAACTTTGTAACATGAATGAAATTGCTTATTTTCTGTATTTATTTATATTTTGCAAATTAGACCATTGCCAACAGAATTGGATACGGTTGGTGAAGAGGAGATGGTGATGGGGGAACTTCCTCCTGAGGCGCCCAATGAGCCATGCGGTCTCTCGACAAGGAGTGGGATGCATTGCATAGCCAGTCCTGAGGAGGCTGCAGATGCAAGATTGTGCATTGCATCCCACAGTGCCCTGAAGTCCCTGTGCCGAGAGGCCAGGGGAATGTGCCGGCAGTGTGGGAAGATGACGGACATCAACTTAGCGTCATCTGGAACATCTGTGCATGTGACATGGGTAAGTAGCCAATATTTCATTTTTTCTTTATATTTATATTTATTTGTTTTCCAGAATGGGAGGAGTTAAATGTATTCATAAATAAAGGAATGTATATAATTAAACAAATGAATGAATAAATGAATGAATAATTACAAAAAATAAAATTCATTAAAATACATTGCCTTTACTAAAATACTTTGGCCCTTATATTAACATTTAAAAAATTAAATAAATACATGTATTTTTTAGTCATTTTAGTTATTGATGTGGGTTAGTTTTTACATTGAATTGCATTGTTGAAAGTCCCCCACTCACTTCCACCTGCCCCCTCATAAAAAAACAAGGAAAATGGATTGAAAATCACATACAAACTAAATAATATCTGTAACTGTTCAATGCTGTTTGAAATTACATTTATAGTATTGCCCTCCTTTATACTACAGGTTTGTCCTGATGGTCACAGTTCCAGCTGGTGTGCACAGGAAACTTTGCGGAGATCTCATGTTGGAGACATGAAACTGGCAAGTGCTGTTGTCATGACTGGCAACAATTTCAGCAAGATTAGCCTATTGGCCAGGTTCATGTCTCTCAACATGATTTCGAACCCTAGTTTCCATGCATACCAGCGGAAATATGTGGCTCCAACCGTGGAGGCCAAGTGGTCAGAGATGCAGGATGAAATTTGGAGCAGGCACAGGGAATCTCCTGTGGTGGTGTGTGGTAAGTGAGATAATATAATTTTTCACTTTCAGAATCTTTACAATAAATCTTATATTTTCTTAAAAATTATTATTGGTTGCAAAATTTCCATTTGTGATAAGTCTGGCCCTGGAATAAGATTTCATTTAAAATGCATTAAAAAATCTTGTAATACAGTTTCTGTCTTAGTAGTTGTACAGCTATCATTGTCTGGTGGTTCTGGCACAGTAGGAGACCAGAAGTTTAGGTTTTAGGGCCCAAAACCTAAACCTTACGTCCTTGAGCAAGGCATATGTGATACATTTTTGCTCCACTCCACCTAGGTGTATAAGTTGGTGTTCTGCTAGGACAAATACTTTATATTTTCAAAATACTTCATAATATCTATTTGTTTGCATTTTTTGTTTGTCATTCAGGAGATGGACGCAATGACTCTCCGGGTTTCTGTGCCCGCTACCTAACCTATATCCTGATGGATCATGAATCTAAAGATGTTCTTGACGTCCAGATAGTGGAAAAGAGGGAGACAGCAAACAGCCCTGCTATGGAGCTGGTGGGGCTCAAACGAGCCCTCAACAGAGTAGAGGAGGCTGGCATCACAGTCGAAGAACTGGTGACAGATGCTCACCCATCCATCGGTCGCTTTATGAGTAAGTACTTCTACATGTAACCATGAATATTAGAGATTTGTGTCAATGCAATTTTTTCACTGCACCATAATAAATATTATTTGAGTAGTTGTTTTATGTTCTTCTTGACATTTCTGCTTCTCCAAATCAACAATGAATTAAAAAAAAAGGAATAACAAAAAGAAAGTACATGCAAAAGTTGTAATGACTTCATACGCTTGCTGCTATCTCGTACAATAGAAGAAGAAAAACATTCAAAAATCTACATGTATATTATAACTCTTTGTAATGCAGGAGAGAAGAAAGGAACCATTCGCCATTCTTGGGATGTGTGGCATGCAGGCAAAAATCTGGGGAAAAAGGTGGTGAAGGTAAGTGTAAAAACAAGAAGTATATATAAGAAGTGTATATATAATTGTAAACTGAGCCTGTTTTATGAATTTTTTGAATGTAAATGTTTTATTTCACTTATGACTGGCAATTTGATAAAACTTGTTTACAAACATTATAAAGCAGTCACTGGAATGAGCCTGAAAGTAAAGCCTACAAAGTTAATACTTTGATGTTCATCATTTGAATGCTAAATTTTATTCCAAATTAGCACAGCTCTGTATTTCATGCAGCATCTTATTCTATTTGGTTTAATCTGCAAAAAGATTCACAGTACCTTTTGAATTAGTCAAAGATGTTTTACAACTGGTACGCTACCAAGTCATGACTTGTATATATGCTCCATGTGATATGATGTCAGGAAATTCATTGTTCTTGCAGGCAGCAGGAAAGGTCTCCACAAAACCGCTGCTGTATTGGGTGCGCCACATTGTGTTCCATTTTTGGTGGTGTGCTCAGACTTGTGGGAGAAGTGGACGGTCATTCATAGTAAGTTTTCGTGTATTAAAAGCCTCTTTAAGTGTTATGAACCGTGAAAAAAAAATTGGAAAATATCAACAAAATTGTATAATAAAGTGAAAGAGGATGTCATTTAAACCACACTTCTGCACGGAATTTTAAAACTAATAGACAAAAGAATAATAAATTGAGGTTTTCTGCTTACAACACAAAACCCGAATGTGATGTTCTCTCATCAATATTTCATTTTGAAACTCATTCCTTTTGAAAATCATTACAGAAGTGTGTGTTAAATGACATCCTCTTTCACATCATTATAACAATTAAGTAATAATTTTGTCTAATCTTATGCTCCCAACACTATTGAAGGGCTTCAACAACTTACCTTTTTATTTTGGCAACAATCCTTTGTTGGTCAATTAGATAATCTATTTTGCAAATTATAATGTTGTAAATTTTGATGTGGTCTCTCTCTACTTCACTCCTAACCCCAAATACTTCTGCAAAAACATTAAAATAATTCAGATTAGGGATGTGCAATTAGTTATCTGCTCAATCTATATATTTTTCTAAGAAATTGTTAACAGTTTTTTCGGCATGTTCAGTATATGTCAGCTTTCTCCATGCACAAATGGTAATTGTTTTACATTGATCTGTAATTACATAATAACATATAATTTAAATTATTTTGGACAAGTTCAAATATAATTAAATTTTGATTGTAAAACCAAGTTATATAAATGCTTACAAGTTATATGTCTGTTATTTCAAATAGGCAAAATGGAGGGGTTTGACACACCATGTGACAGACAAACATGAATGGGTGGCAGGGCTGGATGGGGATGTCATCAAGTGTGCCCACGACGAATTGCCAGAGAGGGAGGAGTGGCTGGCCAAAGGATCCCTAGCACACCAGGCTCTTGTTGCGGTGTGCTATGACCGGAGATTTCTGAACAATAAGGACCGGTTTTTGACATTCAGGTGAGATAATTTATAGGACATGGATCCTAAGAACAAGTCATTAATGTAACAGAATGTTTCACCACGATGGTTCTTATGAACTTGCAACTATAATAACTAAAAATTGGAGGAGCTATTCATCTAACTTATAACCTATATACACAGGTCGGCTCGGGGCCTGATTAGATATTGGGACTATGACATGAATGGTCATATTAGAATGTCTTATTAAGAAATTACATAAAATAGGTACAAGTGGTATCAAATTTTATTCAATGTCTACTTTTGCTTTGCTGATATTCATTGATTTCAGAGATGAAAGGCCAATTTATAAACTCAAGTTTGTGACTGTTGATGGATGTGGATGCATATTTGGGGCTTTTCAGAATAGGAAATGGAGACCTTTCGCTCGTTTAAAGTGCTTATCTATCCATCTCATCAACAGTTCTGAACATCATCCTCAATTTTCAAACCACGTCTTCTCAAAACTTCCTCTTTTTCTTCCCTCCACAAAGTTTGATTCCTTCATGATTAATTATTTTTTCGCTTGTATCCTCATTCACTGTTTCATAAGCTTACAAATTAGTGTTTTTCCATTTGCACATATAAAACTTCCTCTTTTTGTTCCCTCCACAAAGTTTGATTCGTTCATGATTAATTAATTTTTCTCTTGTATCCTCATTCACTGTTTCATAAGCTTACAAATTAGTGTTTTTCCATTTGCACATATAAAACTTCCTCTTTTTGTTCCCTCCACAAAGTTTGATTCCTTCATGATTAATTACTTTTTCTCTTGTATCCTCATTCACTGTTTCATAAGCTTTCAAATTAGTGTTTTTCCATTTGCACATATGCTGCTATGATCCTTCATTAGTTAGGGGAATCGGTCCATGCCAAGACCCATAAACTGTTATTATTATAGGTTTTCGTTATTATATATATTTGTAGCTATGACCTGTATACTACTGACATACTGTCCCATTTTATTTGCCTTTCTATGAATAAATAGGCATACCAGTACTATCGAGTCGCTGAACAACCACATTCTTATGTATGCTTCTAAGCGGTTCTCCTTTGGGTAAGTTGTATATTTTAATCTTCTTGCAAGGATTCTTAAAGCTATTGTATTTGAACACAGAAAACTGACATTGTATTTTTGCATCATTTATCTCATTCAAACAACCTTTTCATATTCATTCCCTTTCCAATTCATTATACAATTGCATTACATTTTCCCATGGTTAGTTTTTGCCTATGTGGGGCACCCAACCAAAACCAGCAGTTTCCAAATGAAAATTGAAATGTCTTGAAATTTGTATAACCAACCCTCCACCAACTGTTATGTAAGATTCAAAGAAAGTGAAATAAATCTATTGAATAATCATTTGAAAACTATTAGTATGTTAGTTTAAAAGAAAAATGTAAGTGTTATTCTCAGATACTGCCCCTAATGCTAGAGAAAGTCATTAATTGGCATGACACTTTTGCAAAACACCTGTAAACTTGTTTTGTTGTGAACATTGTACCAAAATTTGCCATCAAATCACCACCACACAAAAAAAGGGAGATAAATTAGAATATAATTTTTTTTTTTTTAATTTTTATTTAACATTTAATACAACTAAATCATTACAAATGATACATTTAATCTTGACTTTTTCTTTATTTTACAGCTATCGTGCATTCAAAGCACGAAACTACATGGCGGTCATCGACTATCAAGCCCACAAGGATCGGCCCAACAAGACTGATGAGGAAGGCAATCCAAAGTATGCACAATTCACACATCTCTGTCATTGATTAAAAGTATAAGCCCTCACTTGTTCAAACTGACATTCTATTTTAGCTGTTAGTTACTTGTGACCGAAGAGAACATTGAACAAGCTAATCTAGTCTTAAGACAATCCACACATTTGTTCTATTATGTCAACTCATCTAAGTAATTAACTGTAATAACACTACCATCATGCAAAAAAGATTTTAATGTTTATCTGATAAAAAAATAAAAAATGCAGGTGCAATAAAACAAAACAAAAAAATAGATAATAATTGATGCAATCAAATAGAGAAATATCATTTGCTTTCAATTTTTTTAAATATTTTCAGACACCTTGTAAGGTGGTCAAAGCATGCCGGACAGTATGTCACTGTAGGAGTGAAAGTAGCCAAGACATACCCGTATATTCGGCAGATGATGACAGACATCTTCAAGCGACGAGCAGAAGATGTCTTGCCACTTTTCTCACCTGTCGAACTAGACGAGCACGACCCACGCCACATCAGACCACGACTAGCGCAACTGCCCCTACCATCAGTGAATGAGATTTTGGAAAGGAGGAAAAGCCGTTTCTCTGTATGAACTTTCTCATCCATTAAATTGAGGGGAGGAGTTCAAGACCAGATTTGATTAACAAACCGCTCAACATTTGTGTGCTTCTAACATCCAAATTATTGTGTAATAATGCTGTCTGCCATTACAGCCATTAACTGTATTAGTATCATTTACAAACTGGGCAATATGAATTTGTTTTCATAGTAGATTGATTCTAAGAATAGACAACAATCGTCTTGCAGTAAATAGATTCGTTATTGATCATCAAGGTGATTCATCCTTTATGATCTAAGTTCTTTATGAGCTTTCTCTATCCTACTCAATTGATTTACAGGGAATGAAACAGAGTTAGTATTACTTTCCCAATTGCACTCATGAAGTTACAAAATAAAATGATAGAACAGAGATGTTAATCCCTAATACTGAAAAGAAAAACAACATTGTGTTTATCAAAACCAAAATTACACTGACTTTATTCGACTTGAACTATCTTTAGAATCTGGTTCAACTGTACTTGCTTTATATTACTGTCTAAAGTGAACACACATTGATAATAAAAAATAAGTTATACAAAAAACAGAATGAAAGTGCAATTATAGAGTGCTGGTCAACTTTTTCGCACATTGACTTTCCTGGTACAAAATTTAAAAGCAAGTTTCAGAAAAAATAGAAAAAAAAGGGATATATATATAATAATGTACTTGCAACAAAAGGTATTATTAACACTTTATGAAAGTAAACTACACAAATCTACCAGGGATGTGTCCTGTGTAAAAACCATTGGGGGAAGGGTATCGTCCGTGAATGATATCAACACAGCATGCAGGCACTACCCTTCTGTTTCCTGCTCCCAGTCTCCCATGTTGCCAAAATATAACACATCTGTAGGCAATATGACGCAAGCCTTTATTCGCCTGCCCTGCTTCCTCAGCTGGCTCCCCAAGGTTGAAAGCGTCATTCCACATCGCTTGCTGAAGTGCTAGGCTGTTCTCGTCGATTATTAGAGCGAAAGTCTATTTCACAAATAGAAAATAATAGGAGTATAAATAAAATAAAGCAATACTTTTACATGAATACATTGCCAAGAAATCATGCATTTATTCTTGTTTAATTTATTCCTTTTAATGGGAGACCTGCTACATATCTTTTGTCATGGCAAGTTTACTTTATCATGAAGATCTCACAAATACCATCATTGTATGTTATGTACCCCTTTAAAGTTAAAGGCAATATTGTGGTTGTTTAATTAGTGCTTTAATGCCATCGCAATACAACCACACAAAAACCTTTAAATATTTGAATTATTTGACCAACACTGTATATAATCTGGTAGGCAAATAATTTTGTTTGATGTCTTTAAAGGGTAATAGTATCTCATTGTTATATCAATATAAGTGTTCTAGATAAAGTGTGTTTACGTTAAAGCATTGATAACAGATCATAGCAGAATTTTGATCAGAACTTGTTACCACTATGCCCTATGGATGTGTCACATCTTTATGAATTTTCGACATATCGGTTAGCTGCTATTTCATTCTCATTGTATATAATTTCATTGATATTTATGCTGTCGTATGGCAGATTTTATTTTGTTTTGTTTTTGTTTTTATTTTTTATTTATATACATTAACAATGAATGACATGCTTATGCATAGACATAAAAGATAACTTCTTTCACTAATTAGTGACATGGGGAAAAACTATTCTATTGTTCACTTGTTACATACCCCGTGCCTGGTCAGGCAGTCTTCTGGGCGGAAGCCACAGCATAAATTTTCCCGATCTGTGGGTTTGGGTGTGCAGTTTCCGCATACACACCACTGTGGTATCTCGTTGGGTCTGCCAGGGGATGGTGGTGGCGAGTCATTCCTTGCACAGGTCATCACGTCCATGATTAGTCCGGGCTCCCTCTCAATTTGCCTGACGACGATGTCTTCAAGCTCTTCGCGCGACATTTCTTTTACTTCTCTCTAACAAAACATAATAAGAAATAAAACCCAATAAACATGTAATTGTTCGTTTGAAAAGTTATAACAATAACATTATGCTTGAATACATTTAAGTAATTCAACCAGTGTTTTATCAACTGAATGTTTTTGAATAAAAAAAATATTGAAATTAAAATTGGTAATAATGATGATTTATGTATCAGTATGTACATGTGTGCTTTGTGGTAAAGGAGATATCTGAGTGTGTTGTAGATCAGTCAGTTTCAGTGCCAACCATGACAACATGTAGTTTCATCAAATACCTCTACCCCTGATTGCCCTTCTTCACATTCCTGAACAGACAAATGAAACAAGTTACAAGGCTTTTCTCCATGACTGAAAGATTTGTATTGATGCAATACTAGATTAAATTCACAAGCTATATTTAAATAACATCCCTACAATAAAAAATATACAAAATTCTCTACATAACATCACAGATGTAATTTGTTATAGTTTTTAAATTTCACAAATAATATGCTCGTACGTTAACTAACCTTCAACCTGTCTCTTCTATCTCTGCGCAAGGCTTCTATCCGTGCAACCTCGATCTGTTGTCTTTCTGCTGCTCCATTTCCCCTTGCTGCTCTTCCCCTCGCACCTCTTCCCCTCGCACCTCTTCCTCTCCCACCTCTTCCTCTCCCACCTCTTCCTCTCCCTGTGCCTCTTCCGCGACGACCTCCTTCAGTTCCTTCGGTGTCTCCTTCCTGGCTTTCTGTTCCTTCGGTGTCTCCTTCCCGGCTTTCTGTTCCTTCGCCTTCGATGTCATCGTGCCTTCCTGTTCCTTCGCCTTCTGTTCCTTCCAGTTCTAGACCACCTTGACTTGTACCAACCCTGCCTGTCCCTCTGCCGACGACGCTGCTTCCTCTTCCTCTTCCTCGTCCTGCTCCTCTTCCTGCTCCTCTTCCTACTTCACTTGTTCCTACTCTTCCCCTTCCTCTTCCTCGCCCTACATCTCTACGGGCTACACTTGCCCTTCCCCGTCCGACTCCTCCTGCTCTGCGGCCGAATCCGGCGCCGACTCCATCCGAACTTTCTGAAGATTCATCAGTAAGCTGTATACGAATAGAAAAGAAATGCAGCAAAAAGAAAGATGCAAAATATTGGTTAGATATTTTTTTTCATTAGTAATTTTGCGGCATTTTCAATGATAAATTTTATTTTGTGACAAATGATAATTATCTCTTCAGTGTGCAGAAATGGATATTTACAGCATGATAAACAAACAAAAAAGATAAAAGAGAATGAAATGGCGATGGAATCGCTAGAATATGGGGGAAAAGGAAGTTAAAAAAGGGGCCGCCTCTTTTGCTCTTCACGTATTTCATGGGGTCACAACGACACTTGGGAGGCTGGCGTGATTGATCCTGATCGTAATCGTAATCTCGGGTTTGCCTTCATTTTCAGAAATTTGGACAAATAGAACACAATAATACCGACAATTAAGGCGTATTGTCAAATTAGGCTGAATAGAAAAATAGACGATAAAACGCTTGTGTTTAATCTAACTTTTTATCCTGTTAATCCATTTATATCATCTCTGTCATCCCATCTTTCCGTCTATTTTCAGTCTCTTCTCACTCTTTTTCTCCCTTTCTCTATCACTCCCATCCCTCTTTCTCTCATAGCTCACTCCCTCTCATCTCTCCACCTCTCACCCCACCCCTCTCCCTCTTCAGCACTCTCCCCTCCCTCCTCTCTTTCTTCTGTATTCCTTCTCTTCCCTCTCTCTGTTTTGACTAGCTACTCTTCTCTCTCTCTCCCCCTCCCCCTGTAATCCTCCCTCCCCCTCTATCTTCTCCTTCACCTCTCTCTCTCTCTTTTTGTATTCCTGCTCTTCCCTCTCTTTGTTTTTTACCTACTCTTCTCTCCCCCTCTTTTTCTCTCATTCTCTTTCTATTTCCATAGTAGCGCGCGTCCCGAAAAACCTGGAAAGTTGTTGTAGTTGTTTTAGTTTATAGGCGTTTGTCAATTCAGATCAGCGGTGAATGGAATTTTGCTTAGTCTTTTTCCAGGCTTTCAAAGTCATGGAACATCGATCTTTTGATGAAAGGGTCATGGAACGACATGGAATTTAAAAAATCATGGAAAATCATGTGCTTTTATCGTCCAATGTGTTGATAATTAAACTTATTTGTTAATGTTCATTTCTTCTTTTCCGTGTTCTCAATTTGAAATGCATTTGTTATGACTAGATCTAGACTACGCTGTTCGCCAGCTATTAGTGAACGAACACGGCGTACCGCATGCATAACCTGTATTGTGAGTGATCGTTACGATGCCGCGAGCGTGCGTGCGCGTGTGTGTGTGTGTGTGTGTGTATCAGGGAGATGACAGGCATCTCTCTGTGTGTATTCTGTGAGTTGGGCTTACGCGGCTTACATTTTCCGAACACATGTATTTTGGGGATGATCTCAAATTACCCCCAAAAGTTGTTGTACAGGGACAGTTTGGTCCTTTGGATAATTAGTCATAGACAGATCGTAAATTTTTTCACTTTTTTGGTAAAGATACGTTTAATCATACCAACTGAGATTTATCAATATTAAGGTCGACTTGACGATTTCCCAAACAGTCAATCATGTAGTGCGTATTTTTATTTTGAGATCATCCCTTATTTTGCAAGTGAAGGGTTTATTTGTTTTGCTCTGCATGCTCACGTGAAATGGACGATACTGACGTTAGTTATCATTCACCTCCGTCTCTCTTTTTAGAAAACTGTCACTTGATATTCTCTCTCTCTCTCTCTCTCTCTCTCTCTCTCATTGTCGCTTCTATAACCCTCTCATCTCCCCCCCCCCTCTCTCTCTCTCTCTCTCTCTCAATTACAGTTATTCATTTATCTTTCTTTCTCTTTCTTTCTTGAATTGAGATTGGGCCTAAGCCCTAAATGAATTAAATGCACAAAAGTACAATAAAAATAACCTCTGCAAATTGATAGTATAACACATTATGAAGCTAGAAATAATCGAACTTTCAAATTTAGGCCTATTTGCAACCTGGTGTGTAGAATAATTCACACTTTTTATGGTATGCCTACTAAACGCATATTGAAAGGTATTTGTGTTTGCTGTCCATACTGATAATCTTCAAGTTGACATTGGACCTTCAGGCCCGAATTCACAAAGCAAGGTTTGAGCTCAAACCTCCTTTTGTTTCGCCAAACGGCTCCTTTTGTTATTTACAAACCTGGTTTGAAAATAACAAAAGGAGGTTTGGCGAAACAGAAGGAGGTTTGAGCTCAAACCTTGGTCTGAGCTCAAACCTCAGTGCTTTGTGAATTCGGGCCATAAAGTTCTTACCCGTTTCTCAAACTGAAAGAATAATTACAATGGCACTGTCCACTGTCAAGTGAAAAGATAAAGAAATGTATATGTATTGACATACCTGTATCTCTTCTTGTTCTTCTTCGCAATAACGCTGATAAACATCGGAGAGGTTTGAAGAATCGGAATCCATCTTTAGACGCTTATCAAGATAATGTGTGCTGCTTCTCACGTCACCACCTGCACGTGCTCATGAATCATGTCGCAAGTTTATTTACAAAATCATTCACGCGTATCCTGGAGTTTCGCGAGATTCCAGGAATCTAGCAGAATCTACGGGCGTTGACTCTTACAAAGTTTATGCTACTCATAAGATAACCAGAGAGGTACAAAACAATTTAGAAGTTCTCATTCACGTTATAGGACCATATTTTTATGTAGGTGTTTATGTAAATGAGGATGTCAATGACGATAGTAATTTAAAAACTGATAGAAGTTATTATTCACGTGATAGAACCTTGTCTTTTAGGGGGGGGGAGGATTGTTTATGTAAATACGGCATGGATAATAATAATAACAAAAACGATAGAAGTTCAATTCCATTCACGTGATAGGACCGTAATGTGGGTGTGGGTTATGTACATGGGGATGATGATGATGGTGTTATGCTGGGCGCGTCCGGGATCCGTGAATAAGGTAGCATATTTTGTACTTGTTCATTCACCTATACAATTGCTTTGATTTCTTTCCCCGGACGCGCCAGGCGTTACATGTGCCTTCCACACGCTTTGCAAGAGAGTTCTTCTCCATTTCTCTTTCTCCCTTTCTCTCTCTCTCTCTCTCTCTCTCTATCTCTCTTTCTTGCAGTCGTTCCTCTTACTGATTCGCGCATAGCGGGTTAATTATCCGCAAATCTCAGCAATTGTAAATGTATAGCCTTTTCTTGCTTTTAATTGTTTTGTTTCATTGGTTAACACGAAAGAGGACATGCAAGTGTTATACTCAGCAGCTTGTGCATTATTTTTAAAATTTCTATTTACGTAATGTTTCTTTTAATTGTACCTGGACCCCCAGGAAGAACAGTGTCATATATTTTTATGACACTGAACGGGCAATCCAGCCAATCATTTTTAAGCAATCTATATACACATGTAATTTTTTTTTTTTAAATTCTGTTATGTTTCATTTCGTTTTATGTCATATGTTATTTGTCTTTTTAATATGATTGGAAAATAAATACAATACAACAATGACAAGGATGATTGTAATCACAAAAACGATAAAAGTTTCCATTCACGTAATAAAAAACCATTTTGGGGGGAGAAGGGGGGGGGGGGGGGGTGGGAGGTTCATGTAAATGAGGATGTAATGTTACGGTAATATGGCAGGGATCACGGGCAGGGATAATAATAATAGCAAAAACGATAGCAGTTCTCATTCACGTAATATCAAATCAATTTTTAATTTTTCTGTTTGTTGGGGGGGGGGGCGGGTATGTAAAAGAATATGAAACATATGGCAAGGATAATAACAATCACAAAAACGATAGAAGTTCTCATTCACGTAAGATAAAACCATTTTTTAATTTTTTGTTTGTTGGGGGGGGGGGACGGGGGGATATGTAAAAGAAGATGAAACATATGGCAAGGATAATAACAATCACAAAAACGATAGAAGTTCTCATTCACGTAAGATAAAACCATTTTTTAATTTTTTGTTTGTTGGGGGGGGGGGGGGACGGGGGGGATATGTAAAAGAATATGAAACATATGGCAAGGATAATAACAATCACAAAAACGATAGAAGTTCTCATTCACATAAGATAAAACCATTTTTTAATTTTTGTTTGTTGGGGGGGGGGCGGGGGGGATATGTAAAAGAAGATGAAACATATGGCAAGGATAATAACAATCACAAAAACGATAGAAGTTCTCATTCACGTAAGATAAAACCATTTTTTAATTTTTTGTTTGTTGGGGGGGGGGGGACGGGGGGGATATGTAAAAGAAGATGAAACATATGGCAAGGATAATAACAATCACAAAAACGATAGAAGTTCTCATTCACGTGATATAGAACCATTTTTTAGAGGAAGGGAAGGTGGGGGGGGGGGGGGGGGAGGTTCATGTAAATGAGGATGTAATGTACCGGTAATATGGCAGGGATAATAATAATCGCAAAAACGATAGCAATTCTCATTCATGTGATATAGAAACTTTTTTGTTTTAGAGGGAGGGGGGGGGGGGGGGGTTGAAAAAGAAGATGAAACGTATGGCAAGGATAATAATAATCACAAAATAGAATGAAGTTCTCATTCAAGTGATAGGACGTTATTTTTTTGGGTTGTGGTTTATCTAAAAGAAGATGAAACGTATGGCAAGGATAATAACAATCACAAAAACGATAGAAGTTCTCATTCACGTAATATAGAACCATTTTTGTTTGTTGTTGTTGTTGGGGGGGGGCGGGTATGTAAAAGAATATGAAACATATGGCAAGAAAATAACAATCACAAAAACGATAGAAGTTCTCATTCAAGTGATAGGACGTTATTTTTTTGGTTGTGGTTTATCTAAAAGAAGATAAAACGTATGGCAAGGATAATAACAATCACAAAAACGATAGAAGTTCTCATTCACGTAATATAGAACCATTTTTGTTTGTTGTTGTTGTTGGGGGGCAGGTATGTAAAAGAATATGAAACATATGGCAAGGATAATAACAATCACAAAAACGATAGAAGTTCTCATTCAAGTGATAGGACGTTATTTTTTGGTTGTGGTTTATCTAAAAGAAGATAAAACGTATGGCAAGGATAATAACAATCACAAAAACGATAGAAGTTCTCATTCACGTAATATAGAACCATTTTTGTTGTTGTTGTTGTTGGGGGGAGGGGGTTATGTAAAAGAAGATGAAACGTATGGCAATGATAATAACAATCACAAGAACGATAGAAGTTCTCATTCACGTAATATAGAACCATTTTTTTTAATGTTTTGTCGTTGTTTGTTGGGGGGAGGGGGAGGGGGTATGTAAAAGAAGATGAAACATATTATGGCAAGGATAATAACAATCACAAAAACGATAGAAGTTCTCATTCACGTAATATAGAACCACTTTTTAATTTGTTTTGTTTGTTGGGGGGGGGGGGGGGCAAGGATAATAACAATCACAAAAACGATAGAAGTTCTCATTCACGTGATATAGAACCATTTTTAATTTGTTTTGTTTGTTGGGGGGGGGGCAAGGATAATAATCACAAAAACGATAGAAGTTTTCATTCACGTGATATAGAACCATTTTTTAGAGGGAGGGAAGGTCGGGCGGGGGGAGGTTCATGTAAATGAGGATGTAATGTACCGGTAATATGGCAAGGATAATAACAATCACAAAAACGATAGAAGTTCTCATTCACGTAAGATAAAACCATTTTTAATTTTTTGTTTGTTGGGGGGGGGGGGGGGACGGGGGGGATATGTAAAAGAAGATGAAACATATGGCAAGGATAATAACAATCACAAAAACGATAGAAGTTCTCATTCACGTGATATAGAACCATTTTTTAGAGGAAGGGAAGGTGGGGGGGGGGGGGGAGGTTCATGTAAATGAGGATGTAATGTACCGGTAATATGGCAGGGATAATAATAATCGCAAAAACGATAGCAATTCTCATTCACGTGATATAGAAACTTTTTTTTTTAGAGGGAGGGGGTGTAAAAGAAGATGAAACGTATGGCAAGGATAATAATAATCACAAAATGGAATGAAGTTCTCATTCAAGTGATAGGACGTTATTTTTTGGTTGTGGTTTATCTAAAAGAAGATGAAACGTATGGCAAGGATAATAACAATCACAAAAACGATAGAAGTTCTCATTCACGTAATATAGAACCATTTTTGTTTGTTGTTGTTGTTGGGGGGGGGGGGGGTATGAAAAAGAAGATGAAACGTATGACAAGGATAATAGCAACCACAAAAACGATAGAAGTTCTCATTCACGTAATATAGAAATGTTTTGTTTGTTGTTGTTGTTGGGGGGAGGGGGTTATGTAAAAGAAGATGAAACGTATGGCAAGGATAATAACAATCAGAAAAACGATAGAAGTTCTCATTCACGTAATATAGAACTATTTTTGTTTGTTGTTGTTGTTGGGGGGGGGGGGGGTATGTAAAAGAAGATGAAACGTATGGCAAGGATAATAACAATCACAAAAACGATAGAAGTTCTCATTCACGTAATATAGAACTATTTTTGTTTGTTGTTGTTGTTGGGGGGGGGGGGGCGGGTATGAAAAAGAAGATGAAACGTATGGCAAGGATAATAACAATCACAAAAACGATAGAAGTTCTCATTCACGTAATATACAACTATTTTTGATTGTTGTTGTTGTTGGGGGGGGGGCGGGTATGAAAAAGAAGATGAAACGTATGGCAAGGATAATAACAATCACAAAAACGATAGAAGTTCTCATTCACGTAATATAGAACTATTTTTGTTTGTTGTTGTAGTTGGGGGGGGGGGGGGTATGTAAAAGAAGATGAAACGTATGGCAAGGATAATAACAATCACAAAAACGATAGAAGTTCTCATTCACGTAATATAGAACTATTTTTGTTTGTTGTTGTAGTTGGGGGGGGGGGGTATGTAAAAGAAGATGAAACGTATGGCAAGGATAATAACAATCACAAAAACGATAGAAGTTCTCATTCACGTAATATAGAACCATTTTGTTTGTTGTTGTTGTTGGGGGGGGGCGGGTATGTAAAAGAATATGTAACGTATGGCAAGGATAATAATAATCACAAAATAGAATGAAGTTCTCATTCAAGTGATAGGACGTTATTTTTTGGGGTTGTGGTTTATCTAAAAGAAGATGAAACGTATGGCAAGGATAATAACAATCACAAAAACGATAGAAGTTCTCATTCACGTAATATAGAACCATTTTTGTTTGTTGTTGTTGTTGGGGGGCAGGTATGTAAAAGAATATGAAACATATGGCAAGGATAATAACAATCACAAAAACGATAGAAGTTCTCTTTCAAGTGATAGGACGTTATTTTTTTGGTTGTGGTTTATCTAAAAGAAGATAAAACGTATGGCAAGGATAATAACAATCACAAAAACGATAGAAGTTCTCATTCACGTAATATAGAAATGTTTTTGTTTGTTGTTGTTGTTGGGGGGAGGGGGTTATGTAAAAGAAGATGAAACGTATGGCAAGGATAATAACAATCACAAAAACGATAGAAGTTCTCATTCACGTAATATAGAACTATTTTTGTTTGTTGTTGTTGTTGGGGGGGGGGGGGGTATGTAAAAGAAGATGAAACGTATGGCAAGGATAATAACAATCACAAAAACGATAGAAGTTCTCATTCACGTAATATAGAACTATTTTTGTTTGTTGTTGTTGTTGGGGGGGGGGCGGGTATGAAAAAGAAGATGAAACGTATGGCAAGGATAATAACAATCACAAAAACGATAGAAGTTCTCATTCACGTAATATACAACTATTTTTGTTTGTTGTTGTTGTTGGGGGGGGGGGGGGGGTATGAAAAAGAAGATGAAACGTATGGCAAGGATAATAACAATCACAAAAACGATAGAAGTTCTCATTCACGTAATATAGAACTATTTTTGTTTGTTGTTGTAGTTGGGGGGGGGGCGGGTATGAAAAAGAAGATGAAACGTATGGCAAGGATAATAACAATCACAAGACCGATAGAAGTTCTCATTCACGTAATATAGAACTATTTTTGTTTGTTGTTGTTGGGGGGGGGGGGCGGGTATGAAAAAGAAGATGAAACGTATGGCAAGGATAATAACAATCACAAAAACGATAGAAGTTCTCATTCACGTAATATACAACTATTTTTTGTTTGTTGTTGTTGTTGGGGGGGGGGGTATGAAAAAGAAGATGAAACGTATGGCAAGGATAATAACAATCACAAAAACGATAGAAGTTCTCATTCACGTAATATAGAACTATTTTTGTTTGTTGTTGTAGTTGGGGGGGGGGAGGGTATGTAAAAGAAGATGAAACGTATGGCAAGGATAATAACAATCACAAAAACGATAGAAGTTCTCATTCACGTAATATACAACTATTTTGGTTTGTTGTTGTTGTTGGGGGAGGGGGTATGAAAAAGAAGATGAAACGTATGGCAAGGATAATAACAATCACAAAAACGATAGAAGTTCTCATTCACGTAATATAGAACTATTTTTGTTTGTTGTTGTAGTTGGGGGGGGGGGGAGGGTATGTAAAAGAAGATGAAACGTATGGCAAGGATAATAACAATCACAAAAACGATAGAAGTTCTCATTCACGTAATATACAACTATTTTGGTTTGTTGTTGTTGTTGGGGGAGGGGGTTATGTAAAAGAAGATGAAACGTATGGCAAGAACGATAGAAGTTCAATTTTATTCACGTCATAGGACCATATTTTTGGGTTGTGGTTTAGGTAGATGAGGATGTAATAAATGACAAAGATAATAATATCAACAAAAACGATGGTAGTTATATCAATCAAGGGTCTATGTAGAACTTGACGAGGGGTTGTGTGTAAACGAGGATGATATGTAATATGGCAAGGATAATAATGATCACAAAAACGATAGAAGTTCTCATTCACGAGATATAGGACCACTTTTTTCGGGAGGTGGTGGGGGGGGGGGGGGGAGGAGTGTAAATGAGGATGATGTGTATGGCAAGGATAATAATAATAACCAAAACGATAGAAGTTCTCAGTCACGTGATAGGACCTTTTTTGGGGTTTGAGGTTTATGTAGATGAGGATGAACGATAAATAATCATAAAAACGAGTCAAATCTCTCAGTGCAGAGGTGCATGTGAACAAACGAAGAGAGGGAGATCGAGAGGGTGCGAGAAAGGGAACGGAGGGAATGAAAGAGAAAGAGAGACAGGGGGGGGGGGGGGGGGGGGGGGGGAGGCCTATACAGTTCGGGGAGTGAGGGTCCATGCGGTGAAATAAAATTGATTATAATCCAAAACTTCCAAGGTTATAATGAACATTATACAGATAAAAAGAACTTCTGTGTTTAGGAGAGGGAGAAAGAGAGAGAGAGAGGGAGGGAGGGAGAGAGATAGAGACGGGGAGGGTTATCTGGATAGACATATTTAATTGTATTTCTTACAATATCTGAACGATTATTTGGTCATTCATTTTCATATTGCTTTCTTTCTAATATTCTCTCCTACCAAAATCTCGGATGGTAAAGGAATGCATTCCGACATGATAGACAACTTTTCACATCTCCCTGTTGACATTATACACAACACAAGCACACACAGACACTAGTACCAGGGAGGTGTTTTTAACTCACATACCCTGCTCGTACCATGCACACTAATACAAACGCTTCCCGCTGAGCGAGGTCACCGCGGTGCCGAGATGGCTATGTTATCTTTTGATCATCATGCGGCTTGCGCAGAGCGGGGGCAACGAACTTCGATGAGCGCGGGAAACGAAACACAGTTTCAATATCGATCATACCATGGACCATGTTACAACAGTAGATGGCGCTAGTACACAGCAACTTGAGCTGTTTTAATACAGGTAGCTTGAAACTAATAATTGATTTATTAATTACTGTTTAATTCACTAAAAAAAAAAAGAGAGTATTTCAGCAGTGGAGATTGGCTAAAGATATTCCTATACCATCTTGTTATAACATAAAAGATTTTCAGATGAATTCAATATTTTTACCAAAACTTTGTAATACCTTTAATATTATTAATATTAATTTTGAATTTTATTAAATGTAGACCCTTATAACATATTCACAGCCTGTTTTGTAATGCTAATCAATGAAAAATAGCCTAACTCTAATTCTAAAGAGATACACACAATATAAATTGATTGTGTCTAGACCCTAGATTGACTTTTTCATCAACATTCTATTTCATTAAATAGCTTTCAATTGCAATTTTGCCATTCCCATTGCCATGTCTTTGGCCTAATAATGTCAGATGAATCTTATGTCCTCTGCTCTAGCTGTTAAGTCAATTCAATCAATTAAACCAGCAAATACACACAAATAAAGTTATGAAATTTAACGTTCTTTGTAATATTTTATTTTGTTGATTTCTGAATTGGTTTAAAAGTTTTCAATTTCATGGCAAGATTCTTGTTCAGCTAAAGTTCCCTTCCAATATCATAGCATACACTTATAAACCCTTTCCTGCTGTTTAATTTGCCACATATGGTAACCCTCCTTTTCAACATATTGTTCCGTAATTCAGTTCAATTTCTTCCATGCACAAAAGTAAATAAATGTCTTTCAATCTTGTTGATAGATGATCAGCAGATTTTCTTACCAAAAAGGATTATGTATTACATTTTCATATTTCAAGTATGAGTATGACCTTTTGATTAATTAAGTGAAAAATATTAATGAAATATTCTTTTATCTGTATGTTCCTACAGGCTTTTGGGTGTTAGTTGGAATTATCTTATTTCTGCTTGTGGAGAAATTTGTTCGCCTAGTCAAGGGAGATGGTGCACATTCACACAGCCATGGCCACACCGAAAAAGCAAAAGTGGAAGATGACGGACCAGTGAAAAAAGGAGATTCTTCGCAAGTTCGGCGTAGAAAGACTGGAGAGAAAGAAGAAGCTGAAAAACATGAAAAGAGTGCTGAACAAGAAGGTATATATATATATTTTATTAAATTGAACCAATTTGAGAATATATAACATACACCTGTAGCCCTAAATAATTTTCTTCATGAAATTACCAATATATTATAGCTGGACATCTTTACATTTCCTTTTCCTCAACAAAAATAAACAGTCAGCATAAAAGAAATACTTACAGTGTAGTTATGTTTTCTAATATATATATATTATTGATTCATTACATCATTTTAGCAGCAGAAAACAGTTTATTTAGGAATGACCAGCTGTCACCAAATGCAAAATTTGATTTCAATTTTCACTCAAAAATATCTTGATAATCAGACAGGCAATCGGCTTGTAAAAGTTATGGGGTTCCTGACTGACCTAAAGGTTTATAACTATTATTGCAGCATGAGCTAAATCAAGGGTTTTGTTTCAGAACCTGAGACAAAGTTACCCATACAATTGTGCATGTGACTTTATGTTATTGTTTTTTCTTAATTTATCTTCTTATCACAGGGGACGCTCCTATTAAAGTAGCTGCCTACCTCAACCTGGTGGCAGACTGTACGCATAACTTCACAGACGGCCTTGCCATCGGGGCTTCATTCCTGGCCGGTCGTAATGTCGGCATCGTGACCACCATCACCATCCTCCTGCATGAAGTGCCTCATGAGATTGGAGACTTTGCCATTTTGGTGCAGTCGGGATGCAACAAGAGAAAGGTACACTCTGCTTGCTTCCTTTCTTTCATACAACATGCAATCATTTTTTAAAGACATACTTAAACTCTTCTTACTGGTGTTTTGTTGATAATTATTTGATTGATTTAGCCCCTACCAAGAAAATGTATTTTTGTGTATCAGTAATGGTTGGATCATGGACAAAGTACCCCCCCTCCCCCCTATTGAAAAAAATAAAGTGGATCCTTACGGCTGAAGTAGAACAAAAGTATCTCTGTGTTGTATTTTTGCATGATGCTGATACAGAGAATAATTAGGTTAAAACAAAATCAGGTGAAACAAAACCAGGCAAATATGTAAATCGATCAGGTTTGAATTTTTCTTACACTATTGTTTTCTTGGTGTTGATATACTCTCTCAGTCTATGTTTAATTCTCAGCTTTACTAAATATCATTGGAAATGGTTTCCAAATTTACACAGTATTTGATCAGCTGTGAGTAGACACATCTTTCACCCTCCTGTTTGTTGACTTAAAACCCTACAATCAATTTTTAGCATTGATTTTTTTAAAACTTCATGATATACCCACAGCTCAATTTAAAACAAATTGTAGGGCTGCCTAAGTCTTCGCATTTCATAATCAGCTGAATCCTGAATTCTTGCATTCCTATAGACTAAATACAGAAATCACCTAGATAATGTGTACATATTCTTGTGAACTATGGCTGTTAGGGTATGCTATGGAGCATTCTCAAATTATGTCATTAACAATCAACTTCAAACAGACACGTTAGTGGGAAAGCAAAGCTTTAATAGATCCAACCTTAAAAAGACAAATACCGGTACTCTAAATGAAGCAGAAAATCAGAGAAGCAGACTGGTGAAAGTTTGACCTGGTTACTATGGATGTTTGATGCCAGTTAGAACCCTCTATAACTCATCTGAACCATTGACTGTTGAATCTTCTCATCCTCTTAGGCTTAAAGGCCCGAATTCACAAAGGAGGTTTAGATTTAACCCAGGCTAAATCTAACCCTGGGTTATTTAGCCCAGGCTAAATCTAACCCACGGTTTAAACCTCGCTCGGTATTCACAAAGCGTGGGTTAGATAACCCATGGTCTAAATCTAACCCACGGTTTAACCCACGGTTTAAGCATGCCTAAGAGAGCAAAAAAATAAACTGAGCATGCGCAGAATTGAAGCATTGAACTGAGCATGCGCGCTCAGTACACTTGGTTACTCCACCTAGTTCACCGTCGTCTGCTAAGTCCAAATTCAGTTGTATTTGGGCTATTACTCTTCGCCTACAAGTAGAGACTGAAAACCGACCGATTCCAAGTTGAGATAAGACTTTAAACCACTATTCACACACTAAAACAGTTCTCTGACAGATGTCCTCAAAATATTACCGAATTTCGCATAAATTACCTCAATAATTCCTCACTATCGTTGTTAATTTATGGCCTATAATCGTCCGACATAATTATGATCAGCTGGGCATCACAACACACTAAACATCGACAGTTTTCGTGGAAGAGTCCCCAAAAAACTTCTGTAAACGACCCTTATACCAGAGTGAAAATTTTCTTTGATGTAGTGTTCATTTTAGAGCTATATGATCACATTTTCGTTGATTGTTATGATGATTTTAGAGCGTAGGTCACACTTTAGTTTAGCAATTAATCAATCTGAAGTAAGAGTAGACTCGTGTTATATAAAGCGTAGACTCCGTAGAGGCAGCGAAAGCGATCGATGACGTTTAGTCCAGAATGTGTTGATGATGTAGAAAGAAAGGGCTGAAAGGTTACGATAAATACTATCTGATAGAAAATACTGGCATTAATGCATAAAATGCATAGATGTATTGAGAAAAAAAACCGGGCTTACTGGTCATATAAAATAGGAGGACAGCAAAAACAAGGCAGTCTTGACATGTGATAAAGAATTATTAGGCCTAATTCGGGTGGGGGGGGGGGGGATGGGACATTAATTGTTTTCTTAGGGGATTGGGGTTTTTTTGAGGGGGGGGGGTAATTTTGTTCTTAATTTTTCATAGGGGGGAGGGGGCATTAATTGTTTTCTTAGAGGGTGGGGCTTTACTGGGGGTGGGGGTAATTTTGTTTTTAATTTTTCTTAGGGGTGAGGGGGCATTAATTGTTTTCTTAGGGGGGGGGGCATTAATTTTTTCTGAATTTGTTTATTTGCTGTATTAATTCTTTTCTTAGGGGGGGGGGCGTTCATTTTTTCTTAAATTTTTCTGCTTTATTGAATTTCTCAAGGGAATAGTGATTTAAACAAAAAGAAAAGAACTTTTTTGTAAATTTCGTCTCTATTTCTCTCTTTCACCTTCCTTGTTTTTGTTTGTTGTCTCTCTTTTTTCACCAGCTCTCCAGCCCACCTCTCTCAAATATCTTTTTATTCCTTAGAACTCCATTTGTTTAAATCCCTCTCGTACCCCTTTTCTTTCTCTTTTTTCTCCACCTCTCTCTCTCTCTCTCACACACATACCCTTCTCCTTCTTTCTTCATCTCTCTCTTTATCTTTTGCTCTCTCTCTGTGGGTGTTTGGATTTAGCGAAACATACTGAATCCATTTTAATTCATGGTGTGTACTGGGTAATTATAAGTAATAGATACCAGCAAATGGTATATTAATAATTAAACAAGATAAACAAAGTAGTCCATTTACTTGTAAAACGTTTACCTCCTAACTTAATGATTTCACGAGAAAAACCACACCATCAAACAAGAGAAATTTATATTTAAATATTGACGATTTAATATGGATAATCAAAACAAGTATTCAAGGTTATTGACGAAGACAATGTTGAAGTCGATGATGATGTCAGTGATGATAATGATGACAGCAATGTTGTCGGTGGCGATGGTGATGAAGCAGTCAAATAACGATTTCAGTGATGATGTTGATGATGATGAAGATGATGACGATTTCCCTTTCAAAGTGGTTGGTACCTTTTGCAAAAATGTTTTTGGGAGGAACTATATCAACCATTAGATTTCAAATCATCTGGTCTAATTGTTTCAGACCACAGTACTGCATGGGTGTACGTTTCGTTGAGAGAAACTAAAGGGTGAACCAATTCCATATCGGTCATTTAATTAATTGGATTAAAAGTATATGGGGAGCATCTCCAAAAAAAGGGAAAATTTTCATTTCATTAATAGAGTATCTGTTCTTCCTATTAATAATATTACAGGGCTTGATCTCCACCAGGAGAAAACCTGGCAACCTGCAGTATTGGTAGAACTGCTGCTGTGTTGCTTCTACTTCTTCTCTTGATGTTGGGAACTTCATGAATTGTTTCCTTCTTCTTGCAAACGCTTCTGACACGTCTTTGATGACTCTGCATACAGAAGAATGTGAAAGTTGTGCCTCATCACCATGCATCTTTTTGAATGACCCTGTAAAAAAAAAAATCCTTTCAGTGAAATATCAACTTGTACAATTTCTTACAAGTTACATGGCCAGATCAAATTCTCAAACTGAGAAATGTTTAATGTCCTTAAAATTGTAGAATAGATTTTTTTATTAAATCAGGGCTGTCAACCCTCTTGCATTTAGAGGGAGTCTCACGCCACCACGCCCTTCCTCCCGCTTTGATGTAGAATCTACCGGTTTATGAAAAAACCTCCCGCAAAACATGGTAACCGCAATTTTACCCTTTTACTTTTTCGCTCAGCCCAGATTAAATAGAAATTTACTAAATACTAAATAAGGTAAATTACTCACCAACAGCATAGAATCGAAGTGCTGTCACTACCTGTATAGGTATTGGGTCGTTTCTGTCTGTCGTCCTCCTCAGCTCTTCATCCACCAAGTTGATGAGGTAGAGCGCTGTCTCTTTGGAAAACCAGTACCTGGTCCGAAATGACTCGTCATCATACACTTCAAAAGGGTTCATGGGTCACGAAGGCCTCTCTGAGGTCTGCCTATTAACTCTCTGTTCCGATCAAGCTGGCGGAGATGGGGAATATATTCAGCCATGCTGTCTCTGTCACAACAAAATAGAAAAAAGTGAATTAAAATTAGAACATGAAATGAAAAAAATATCATTCATTGTTTATCAAATAAATCCTATGATATTACATGTTTTGCATTCTTTGTATTGTAGACAAACTGATTTTGAATAGCTTTTGCAAACTCTAAAAAAAATATTAACGATACTTTGATTGCATTAAAGAAATGAGTGCTATTGATTCATACTAGGCCTATTGGGTAATTAGGAAAGATGATGTCACTGAACCTCCATAAGAACGTAGGGGCCAATTCCTGTCATGTTTTGTTAAAAAATCTACTCATGCTTGATAAAATGTGAAATTAGATACATGTGCATGTAAATTAGCATTAGATGTCCCATGTGAAAGGTTGAATTTGACTAAGATTACATGTAGATTTAATAGGAAGAATACACATTGATTTATTGGCTATACGCTTGCACAGATTTTAAACTTGCTTCAAAATTCAAGTACAACAATGTATTGATGTAGACTCTAGGCCTAGACATGATCATGATGTAGTATAAATTTGTAGGAGTTGAGTGTAGCCTAGATCTAGAGACATTCGACAGTCAGTAGATCTACTAGAGTCTAGTCTAGATCTAGATCTAGATGGGCCTAAAGACAAAGTACCTCTCATTCAGCTCGGACTTGTGCTCGAACTCAGTGACGGTGAGACACACAAACACTCAACTTCTCAAGACACAACACAACAAACCATCGGCGCGGGCTTGGCATGAATTTATGAAAAGTAGGTTTAGAAAGGTCTAACAGTTAGACCACATAGACTAGATTCTAGATCTAGAGCCCGATGTCTATACCGGTAGACCCTACGGCCTAGGTCTACTAGTTCTAGATCTAGAAAGTCTAGAGTACTAGACCTAGACTAGACCTAGACCTAGACTAGGGTCTAGATCCCTAGATCTAGACTCTAGGTCTATTTTGAAAAATATTTTATTCCATTTCAATTTCTAAATCTAAGTTAGAATAGGCTAGACTACTAACGTTAGATCTAGATCTAGGTCTAGATTCTAGACCTCTAGATCTAGATCTGCATCTTTTACAATAATTTACAAAATAAATTCATGCCATGGTTTGGCGTGCTTTGACTAATTTCTTGGGACTGAGGACTAGATCTAGATCTAGATAGATCTAGATCTAGGCCTAGAATCTAGATCTAATCTAGGTCTAGCCTAGGCCCGCGTCGTGTTTGCGTGTCTCACTGCCACGTACAGACGTCGAGCTCAAGCTCAAGTCTTATTCAGTCAGTACTAAGTGTCAGTGTAGGCTAGTAGTACTAGAGACTAGTCTAGATCTAGGTCTAGACCAGGCCTCTGTAATATAGTAGGCCTAACAGTTAGACTAGACTAGTAAAATCCATCTGCAACGTGGAAGAATTTTCATCTTCATTTCGGCATTTTTCGTTCTCCTCCGTTAGTCAGATGAGAAGCAGCATCAGCAGAGCAGAAAATACAAATGGAACTGTCGCTACCCCCCCCCCCCCCGAGGCCAGGAATGTCTCAAATGTCATGAGTAACATATTTTTCTTCCCGAATCACACAATATTGTGTGATGTTATAACTAATTTCGTATTGTTAGCTGGCACATTCGCAGTTATTGCGAAATTGCCTTGCCTCGCAGGATTACATAAACAACACAACACAAATACACACGCATGGGTCCGAGCTGCGTTAGGTTCTGCGACAATGTTCGCAAAGGCTGTGCAACTTACGATGAAGATTATTATTCGTGCACTTTTTACGCACATAAAACATGTTCAATTGGGCTTCCACTGTAGCAGAACTGAGAATAGGGTACAAATATGTTGTGAATAACTAAAAATACTTACAATGTAGGCTATCAAAGTTGAAAAAACAGCAACTTTGTGAAGGTCTCTTCACTTTGTTTCACCACAAATTTGTCAACAAAATTTGTACGGTCGTCTGCGCTAAAAAGCCAAAGCTCGCTGGTATGACGTCATATGACGCGTTAAACCGTGGGTTAAACCGTGGGTTAGATTTAGCCCGCTGTTTAAACCACCCTTCTGAGCAGGCTAAAAATATGACGTAATATGACGCGATTTAGCCTGGGTTAAATCTAAACTTCCTTTGTGAATACCAAAATAATGACCCATGGTCTAAAGCTCGGGGTTATGACGTATTATGACGCGATTTAGCCTGGGTTAAATCTAAACCTCCTTTGTGAATTCGGGCCAAAGGGATTGGGTAACTTTGCCTCAGATTCTAAAAAAAATCCTGGATTAAGCTCATGCTGCAATCATAATTGTAAACCTTTAGGTCATACATGTGATGTATCCCATGAATTTTACAAGCTTATCGCCTGTCTCATTATCAAGATATCTATGATTGGAATTAGAATATGCAGAATCTTTTTTTTTAATGGTTTTTATAACACTACAGTCTATTGGGGAATACGAGTATGATAAAACCGGTTAATCAAAGAATTTAAACTTTTTTGAGGCACAATTTTTTAGGGCTTCAATATTACACCATACATGTATCACAGACACTGATAACACGCAGGGCCATGCATCTCAGATTTAACATTGTCAAACGATGCCTTTAATGCAAGGACCACCAGGTTCCTATTTGCATAGGTTTACATGACAGACAAATTAAATTTGTTAACCCGTTGAATATGGACTTCCACCATTCCCATAGACTATATACAGAAAGTAACCAGTTTCTGTTGGCTACAGGTTTAAGTAAATGAAGGCATCATTTCAGGGATGCTAGTTTTCAGGCCATAACCTGAATTCAGGCCCTGGCGAGTTATTTTCAGACCATAGTGAAGGCTTTTTTGTGTACAAAATAGCCCATTCTAGGAGATTTTCAGGCCCTCTGATCAATTCTAACTGGCATCCCTGATCATTTGTATCTTCAATCCAACAGGCGATGTACCTGCAGCTGCTCACGGCCGTTGGAGCCTTGGCAGGCTGCATCTGTGCTCTCCTGGCCGAAGGTGCAGGGGACACCACCTCCATCTGGGTGCTACCCATCACCGCAGGAGGCTTCATCTACATAGCCTGCGTCACCGTCATCCCAGAGCTCCTGGGAGACACTACCCTTAAGCAGAGCATCATGGAGATCGCTGGTCTCCTGGCGGGGGTCGGCCTCATGTATCTTATAGCTCTGTATGAATAATAGGTAGATAATTATTTCTTGCCAAACGTTGTTCGTGACACTGACTTTTATAAAATAGTTTCTGTGCTCTCTCTCTCTCTCTTTCCCATTTTATGTCATGTCTGTCAATTTTGCCTTTTGTCATTTATATCTCAAAGATTTCACTCCAAGGTAATGGATTCTCAATGCAGTTCTAGGAATATACAACTTTTGATGTATCTCTAACAAACAAAATATAAATGTGGTGAACTAACATGTGGAAAATTAACAGAATTTAATATTATAACTTCTTGAGCCTCTGATCGGTAAACCATAGCTCTTTTCTTTTTCTTTTTTTTTAATAGAAAATTCTTTTTTTTTGTGTGTAAAGATCTTTGTTTTTGAGTGCAAATTGTGAAGGTAGGTACATTGGGGTTGTGAAGTAGATAGCTTGTTTGTATGTGTACATATGCATGTACAAAATCTCTGTGCATGTGCATGGTTGACTTGGCACTACACCATATGGTAATCTTGAATATATGATGAAAAAGTACACTGTAATTTAGTGAATAAGTATATATTCATGGTTTGTAATGGTTAATTGGCAGCACGTATGTATGGATCATGTCTATGGATATATATGATTTTATCTTTTGCGCTTTTGCGCCTTGAGTATTTGATTTCAAGAGGATTTGGCACCTCACAACTCTCACATATTATTATTATCATTACCGGTATTATGAACTTCAAGTGAAGGTAATAATTATTGCTGGTAAAAACTTTCAAACTAAAACTGTCATTACTCTTTTTCTGTTATATCGTTTGCATAATATGATATGTATTCTACTAAGGTACAAAGGGCTGGGTCTCTGAGGTGTTGGAATATTATCATGGCAGTTTTTTTTGGGGGGGGGGTGGGGGGGGGGGGTACAACAAAGTGTGAAATGCAGAGGGATAAAGAGAAGAATGTTGATCGTGTGATTAATTACCGTGTATCCGTGTTGATGCAATTATTTCACTCAATTTTCATGTATGAAGTAAAAGATATGGATGTAAATTTTGCCCCGATTGAGTCATTGATGAATTGCAAACATGGCGATCCTATAGTTGTAGCAAGAACAGTTTCTTGTACATTTGTTAATTTGTGATGCATTAATGATTATACCAATTAGAAATGTACTTGCATATGACGTATGATTTAAACGATGCTGCGATGGGTTCAGTTTGCAAGTCGGTATGCAAAGTTATCATTGACTATGTACTGGAGATATCTTTTTCTCCACTTCTTGTATTTTGAAGAAGAAAAAAAAAACTCATTTGAATACTTCAGGAGTAGCTTCACGCTACGTCTATGATATTTACCTTTCTATTGTTTACACTCTCGTACAAATATTTTCTTTGTTCATGGCAGTACTCCTGGTCCTGAAGTACTTTGCCTTCCGTGTATTATAACCTGTTGCCTTCTCTTACATGCAGAGCTGCCAAATAGAGTTGATTTTCAGTTATTTCAGTTTGAAATATGAGATTTCCACTGACGGTTTTTATAACAAAATACAGATTTTGAAATGTCCAGGTTCCGTGTTGTATTAATGACAAAATACACATTTTCAGTATTAGTCTGAAATATTCTGATTAATGGAATTTGGCAGCTTTGTGTGTGATGATTGCAAATTGTGTATTATTTTGTATGTTGCTACATGTATCTATCTTTCAACATTACGATAGTTCATTCCTCCTCTTTATTTTCTTAATTTGCATTGCGATTGTTTTGCATCTTCTATTGTAACATGGAGGCAATCATGTTTGGTGATAATTGGAATGCACTGTTTGTAATACTGGATTGGAGCTATTAAAATCATCTGATCATGACTCGAATGTCAAAGAATCCTTATTTATTACACAGTTTGCCTTAATTGCAATATAAAATGACAGACCAGTCAAAACACAAGTCCGATTAGCACTTCAATGTGTGGGGGGAAGGGACTCTCAACTTGTCTTGTTTAGCACTTGAAATAATGAAAAACGCAAGGGTATCAAATCACACACATGCTACTTCACTGGATTAAACATAATTAGATTATTAAATGCTGATGCTGTTTCAATTAAAGCACAACTCTGCAGAACTCATGAACTCATCAGAGAGCAGGGGAACTCTCTTTTCTCAGACTGGCTCTCATTCCAGATTTCACACAAAATAAAGAACAAGAACACTTTATTGTACTTGGATGTATTTTTATTTGCAAGCAAAGTATATTTAAAGTGAATGTAGGCAACACTAGCTACACAATCCAACATCATGATAGCTAACTACTACACACAGAAAGGAAATGTGTACCTGGTAAGCAATGATGTGTTATTACAACTATCTACATCTACATGTGCTACACTGATATGCAATAACAGTTCGACTGGAAATAACTATTTTCAAAGAGTGCCTCAGACCAACAAGCCCCCTATACCGTTTCCTGATCCGCTGAGCTATACTGATATATATGTATGCAAATTCACTCATTTGAAATCCACTCCTAAACACTTCATATTATGGATAAGTACCAGTACATACATTTATTTTTTGTTCCCCATCCCGTATATTTTCCTTACTAAAACACCTGGCATAGTAACGGTAAAATGGTACATGTTGGTTATTCATTGTTAAACATAATCGATGAAGAATGATCATGACAGATATGTAAGTAGTTAAGCATCACGATTACGCTGCTTAAATCTGACATTTTCTCTAGCTTAACTTATGACTTGCAGTAACCCACGAATGAAGATAAATATGTATGTGGTACATCGCACTTAACTTAATTCTAGCGATGTACAAGTCTTCAATTTGAACTACTTTGTTGAAACATTCAAGCAATCTGTCTTTCAAGCCATACTGTATTACAAGCACCTCTACCGCCATCTCCGCTCAGCTGGAATTAGGTATTGGGTTATGCACTGTTGGCAAGTTGACCTAGGTCAGAAAGTTCACCAGTTCAGTATCGCTTTAAAGCTCACTGCATACATTTTACACCATGCATTCTTGCCGTATATTGAAGAGAAATGAATATAAACATAAAACACTTGTATTTCATGGTCTTCAGGTCTCAACAAAATATTACTAATCTACCTACATGTACTTCATAGTAATCTGTAATATGCTTCTATAATGCATGTTTTAGTCTGCATACAAACAACGACATCTATATCGTCTAAATAAAAATGACTTCAGTCAAATAAGTATAAGGACCCTAATTATGGGATATAAATCATTATACTTAAGTATTAGTAGTCATTCAACTCGTTTCAAAATTACATTCTATATAGACATTGTCTGACAATTTTTTGTCTGAAGTCTATTAAGGTTTCACGTACAGGGAACATATTGCAATATGCAGTCAGAACAAGTCCCTTGACGTTTGTGAAAAGGTCACCAAAAAGGTTACTTGGATTACGATGAACATGTATATATATATATATTGTCAATAATATCACTTCTTTATCATCAAGAGTGAATTCATCCTATGCATGTAGAAAATGAAACATACATCATTCATAACATTACTTGTATATATCCTCAAGGCTTTACAAGTCCTTAGAGATGGTTTAATCATTATGTGGCATGCATTTCTAATGGATTCTATCCCAAGTTATCATGGGGTTAGTTTTCCACACAATGTTCAACAACAACAACAAAAAGTACAAGAAATCCACACAGAAGAATTTTGTGTCTGGTTCACTATACCGTTTTCGATCAACGACTTAGAATTCCCTATCAAAATGTCATATCTAATCCTTAAATAAAACAAATAATATTGAGGTGGATAACAGATGAATTAATAATCTGGGTAAGATCAGTTTAATAAAGCTAAAGTAAGTAGTCATTTTTGTCATCAATCTGCTCAAAGTTCCACTGAACATGCATCCATGTACGTGTATATCAATTGAATTGATATGCACATAGTCCTTACATCTAGCAGTGTTACATGTATACTCCTATTATATCAATTCCAATACACCTGCACAGTACAAGCTCCAACCATTAATCAACAGTTAGTGCTATAAGAAAAGATAAGATAAGAAAGTACATGTACACCCATTTCAATCAATTCACCTTTGACTTGTCTCATGGACATGTCACTCATAAAAACGCAGGAAACTACATATAAACTGTCATTATATATGTTGGTACTATGTTATACGTGTACCAAAGAAATAGATTGACCAGATTTCAACATTAACTTATTTTATATCACTCATTCAAAAAATAAAAAATAACCACACATACTACACATAAACTGCCATGATACATGTCGGTACTATTACATACAAAAGAAATGGATTCACCAAATTTCAACATTGTTTTATTTCATGTCACTCATTAAAACACCACAAAGAATCAACACATACTACATATAAACTGCCATGATACATGTTGCTACTATTTTGTTATACAAAAGAAATGGAGTTACCAGATTTTCAACGTTTACTGATTTTATGTCAATCATAAAAGATTAAAAAAAATAAACAAACAAATACTACATATAAATTGCAATGATACATGTAGCTACTAATACGCTATACACATATAAAGAGAAATAGATTTTTAAAGGATTTTGACATTGCCTTAATAGAAAATGTCACTCTTAAAAACACATAGAGGAACACTCACATACTTCATACAGTGTATACGCTAAATTGCCAGCTAGCTAAAATGGTATATAAAGCTAAGACCATGAAATACAGGTGTATACTTTGCTTGCAAAACTAAAAAATCTTAATTACCTGCCGAGTGAAAGTAGAGTACTCTTTAAAACTTAACGATCTGTTACCTTAGTTGACATGTACATGTATGGTGCAATAGCTAAAGACACTCCTCAAAATCAGAAATGAAGAAAGAAGTCAAGGGAGCTTTACATGACTTTAATAGCTGAGAAGAATAATACTATTGTGTTAAATTCTCATTTATTTCATGTATTTCAAGAGCTTCCCAATATGCAAAGTTTTTCAATTATTTTTGTTTATATATATTATGTGCATATCGGTTTTATGAACCAGATATCTATCACTCTTTGATAATGGAAACAAATTGTGTAATGAAACTAAAGTTAGTGTAGTGTCCTGCAAAGTAACAGAGAAAATATGGGAAAAGTAAAACAAAGGCTTCATGGAAATTCACTTGCTTCAAAATCAATAAAAGGTATCCCTCACCCGAGATTTGACATGGATGCTCAAGGTTAATAGATCCAAATATCTTCAACATAACAAGGTTTTCTTTTAAATAAAAAGTGAAACATTATTGCATTATTTCACTTTGATTTGATTGAAACATGATTATGAAGGATCACATATCTCATGCTTTAAATGGGTTTAAAAGCTGCAAAACGTATATCACTTGAATTTATATGGATATATATCTGGTTATTTTAACCGGGATGTATTCATACACAATACAGGTTAAATTACAAGTTAGCGCTATATTTGTAAACACACTGACTCAAAGGTATGAATTACAAAACACACACCCAACAACAAAAAAGAGTACCCTACTTTAACAAAGCAATGATTCACAAAGACAATCCTGCGGGTTGGATTGATCAATCACGATGATAAAATAACACTGAACTCCACTGCACAAATGAGGACTGGAAATTAATTATGGAATAGACTTGAGCGTGTCTGCCAAGAACTGATCCGGATTTGGTATATCGCCGAGGAGACCTAAACAGAAAATAAATAAATGAAATGAGAAAATGACTGTAAACTCCAATAACTTCTTTCAAGATATAAAATATGGCATATAATGTTACTGTAATTATGGCCATCTGTTCCAATAGGACTGCGCTCACAAAGCTGTTGCATGTACATTGTACCATATGGAGTTGAGTTGAAGAGGCTTGATTTATTGCTCTATCTTTTCATAGACCTGATTAACACTTGAGCTTGTTTTCAAGTAAAATATATATTTTGTGGCATTAGTATTTGGTTTGATGGTTATGTATGCATGTGGATGCTTGTAGTAAGCAATCAGGGGACCAATGGCTTTTAAGTCCTCTCCGAGGGACTTGGTAATGAAAATTAATGCCTGACCAAAGGGCACAAGCGAATCATTTTGGTTTCAAACCCAAGTTCTCCCACTTACCAGACCACTGCTCTCCCACTGAGCCATCTCACCTCCTAATTTTAACAATTGTCATTGTAAAACACGTACCAATGATTGTCTCTATATTTTTGAAAATGTAGAATTACGTTTCAATCTTGAATATCCCTTACCATCAACATCGCAGAATTCAGCAAAGGACTCGCACGGTAACAGATCTTCTTCATACATGAGCAGCAACTGAAAATGATCAAAAGAAGTAAGAAGATTTGAACCAAGATATCAAAATTCAGAACAATGTAAGCAAGAGTCCTAAAGGTTAGTTATCTCCAGCCTTCAGGAAGATCTCATCATATAGCTAGCTAGGTTTATAGGCAGCGTGTCGCCGGTAGTATGGGTCATGTCTTTGAGTATGAGTACAGAAGTGGGGTGGGGGCAAGGGGACAGGGGAGGGGCATTCATTAGGTAAAAAGTCCTAATGCGACATATTTTCTACTTTGAACTAACCTTATCTCCAGCCTTCAGTAAGATCTCATCATTGTTTCTGATATAGCTAGCTAGGTTTACAGGCCATGTGTTACTGGTAGTTTGGGTCATCTCTTTGAGTAGGAGTACAGGGATAGTAGGGGAGGGGGGGGGGGGAGGGGGTGGTGCTTTGTGGGGGTAAAAACGGGTTCAAATGGTTAAAAAAAATGGCTACTTTAAACTAACCTTGTCCCCAGCCTTCAGTAAGATCTCATCATTGTTTCTGATGTAGCTAGCTAGGTTTATAGGTCATGTGTTACCGGTAGTTTGGGTCATCTCTTTGAGTAGGAGTACAGGGATGGTAGGGGGGGGGGGGGGTGGTGCTTTGTGGGGGTAAAAACAGGTTCTAATGGTAACAAACAAAATAGCTACTTTAAACTAACCTTATCTCCAGCCTTGAGTAAGATCTCATCATTGTTTCTGATGTAGCTAGCTAGATTGACAGGCCACGTGCTACCGGTAGTATGGGTCATCTCTTTGAGTAGGAGTGAGTAGAGTCTCTCTACCAGACCGAAGAAGACGAGGGTTCCTTTATACACCTTGTAATCCTTCATGTGCTTGTCTGTCAACCTGCGAAGCAAAGGAGGTGAAAAAGTTAGATTTGTACAAACACCAAAACACTGATTAAAAAAAGCATAGACATGAACTAGTGTTTTGAAATACAGAGTTGTATCCATGTACAGAGAACAGAAAGGGTTAAATCATTAACAAAGTTAATTTTGGTATCTTAAAGATGCCCAATGTACCATTTTATAAGATTGTATCCTTACATGAAAATTTGCAAGAGGCGCATACAGTCTGTCGCAGAATTGTAATTGTATGCATTGTGACATTGTAGAACTGAAGTTTCTCCCCCAAATCAAGTATAAGTAGCAGCCAACAAACCTTAAAGGGATCCGGTAACTTTGTCTTTGTCTATATATAGGATCTCTATGCCCATGCTTCATACGTAGGCTGTGCACTAAAAAATTGTTGGATAGTACTGGAAACTATTGCATGCTTTTTCATGAAAGAACATGGGATAGTCTCAGTAAATGAATCACACGTGACCGCAAATGACCAATCATTTGATTAGGATCTAGGAGTGAGTTGTATAATACAATATAGCGCACATAAAGACAACAGTGTGATATGCAACTCCACAAAAAGACCTAGGGGTGTTTCACAAAACTTGTCATTAGTGACAAATGACAATTTAAGCTACTAAAATCCTTGCTTCTGATTGGTTATCAGCAGATTCGTCACTGATTTTTGTCATTTGTCATTGGAAAAAAGGCTTTGTGAAACACCACCCAGGTAGAATGATCATGCTCGTCAAGATTCATACATGTACATGTAGTTATGATCAATATTTAAGATTTTTTTGTTGCTATATAGGTCAGCATAATTCTACTGTTTAGTTAGTTTAGTTTGTAAGCATTTAAATGTATGCATTATTCTTATCCGATGAGTTTGTTCTTTTAGGACATACTCATAAGCTGCTCATGAGGAATCTTAAATCCACAAACCTTGCTTTCGACCAAGGTCACCTCATCTTTCTATTGTAACGCCATATTCTATTCATCATTTCAAATTGTTTTTTCTTTCTTATGTCTGTTACATGTACTTTTCTCTAAGCGCCATGAGCACCGAAAGGTAGACCTGTGCACTATACAAGTAGCCACTATTATTATTATCATTCTTCTGTTAAACTGTTATATTCATGTCATATTTGTAATGTGTGGTATGAAAGAAAGATAAATAAAACTTGAAACTTGAACTTACATAGTAGCTCCCGAGGGACTGACATGCCGGGTTTGAGCCGCTACGAGGAGCTGCCGGAGGATGGTGAGACGATTCTCCTTCCATTTCTCCGGAGGGAGCAGGTGAACGTGGAGCACGGCATAGTAGTAGGGACCGTCGACCTCGTAGCTCGCTTCCACCCACTTGGAGGGTAGGGACTTGAGGAGAGCGTTCAGGTTCTTCTCTTCCCGTGGCACAGAGCGGGTTCTGAAAGAATGGATACAGACAAAATGTGAACACACCAACTTTCTGCCATTTATAAACAAACTCCAAGATATCTGAACAAAGCTTTCACCCACTTGGAGGGTAGGGACCTGAGGAGAGCGTTCAGGTTCTTCTCTTCCCGTCGCACAGAGCGGGTTCTGAAAGAAAGGCGACCAGACAAAATATGAACACACCAACTATCTGCCATTTATAAACATACACTTCCACCCACTTGGAGGGTAGGGACTTGAGGAGAGCGTTCAGGTTCTTCTCTTCCCGTGGCACAGAGCGGGTTCTGAATTAAAGGAAGACGAATAGATAAAGACAAAATGTGAACACACCAACTATCTGCCATTTATAAACATACTTGAGGAGAGCGTTCAGGTTCTTCTCTTCCTGTGGCACAGAGCGGGTTCTGAATGAATGAAAGGCGAACGGATACAGACAAAATGTGAACACACCAACTATCTGCCATTTATTAAAATAAGGTACTCCAAGATTTCTAAGCAAAGCATGTTCAAGAGCTGTTGCAAAAATGAAAATAACAGCGTTAGAAGAATTAGCTCTATCAGTTGCTGAAAAAGACAATTTGAAAGGGTCTATTTAGCAGACACATGGCAATGCCATCACACTAAATAGAGAGGAAAAGTGATTTTATGATGGCATACAGATACAGCTCCCTCCGACAAAGTTTCATATCTCTACCTCAAAAAAGAATTCAGAGTTATCACAACTGGTCGTATAAACATGTAAGACACTTCTGCATTGTGTCCAATTCTGTACATATGGAGAAATGTTAGTTTGGGCCAGCATCTTTTGAAACTGCACTGTAAGAAATGGTTGACATTTTATAGTTTGGTACTCAAAGAGGCTTTACAGCTTCAAATTAGTACATGATTCATAGATGAGACTTACGTGTTGATGACATAGAGTGCCATGTGCATGAGATAAGGTACGAGATGAACATTGCTCTGTCTACCCCCTCCCCCGCTATCATCACTGAAGGAACGCTCAAAGGCAAACCGTTGAAGTAGAAGCTTAAGATCATGGATGGTAGCATGATGTGCTGGTTCACGGTGGCCGGTACACTCCTGCAGGTAGCTGTTATGTCTGGTGAAATGAAGCAAAGACAGCGTATTAAACGGTTGCATGGATTTGAAGAAAATTAAAATTAAAAGACTGAATAAATGCCTCTACACTAGAATTGCTCATAATATGTCAACAATAATAATCACCGAGCATTAATTTTATTAGTAATGGTCAAAGCACATGAAAGTACAATATCTCTAGAGGAAAGTTTACACTAAATACGTGTACAATGACTAATCACAACAGTCTACATCTACGGGTATAGAGGCATTCAGAATGAGAATATTATAATATTTTTAATGAATATCTTAACTAAGTTTGAGAAATAACATGTAATCAGAATCATGTCAGAATTTTCATGCAGTTGCTTTTACGTTGAAGAAACTGGATGTAATAGATTAAGTTTAACATTCATTTATATGTGGAATGTTTCTTCTAACTATCACCCTCTATACATATGGTGTTAAATAAATACCTTGCTTTTGTTCATTACATGACATGGCCCCAAAAATAAGAAATTAGTAAAATTCAAGGGACAATTTTACATTTATCCCAAATCGTTGACATCAGGGAAAACTAGATGGAACTTCGACTGCGCGCAGTCGAAAATGATGCCTCCGTCATAGAGCAAGTTTACAAACCAAAAAGCAATTTCTCATATACATATATGACCCTTTGATCTTTGACCTCATGACCCTAAAATGTACTCAGTTCATTGGCTCTGCAAGATGTCCTGAGTTAAATAGTAATCCATCTGTCAGTTCTGAGAATGCATTCACAAGCTATTTTTGCATACATAATGAGCCCATGACATTTGACCTTTGACCTCATGACCCAAGAATCTACTCAGTTCATTGGCTCTGCAAGATACATACATGATCTAAGTTTGGCAGGAATCCATCAATCTGTTCTAATGATAATGCGATCACAAGCTATTTTTTGCATACAAAATGAGCCGCATGACCTTTGACCTTGACCAAGACCCCAAAATCATCGGCTCTGCAAGTAACATACATGACCTAAGTTTGGCAGGAATCCATCAATCGGTTCTTGAGATAACGCGATCACGAGCTGTTTTTGCATACATAATGAGCCCTGTGACCTTTGACCTTTGACCTCGTGACCCCAAAATCTAATCAGTTCATCGGCTCTGCAAGATACATACATGACCAAAGTTTGGCAGGAATCCATCAATCGGTTCTTGAGATAACGCGATCACAAGCTGTTTTTGCATACATAATGAGCCCTGTGACCTTTGACCTTTGACCTCGTAACCCCAAAATCTAATCAGTTCATCGGCTCTGCAAGATACATACATGACCAAAGTTTGGCAGGAATCCATCAATCGGTTCTTCAGATAACGCGATCACGAGAACGGGACGTACGGACGGATGGACGGACGTACGGTATGGACGGACAGACGGACGGACGGACAACCCGAAAACATAATGCCTCCGGCTACTTCGTAACGGAGGCATAAAAAAGCAGCATGTATTGTATTTTTATATTTTTTGGAGGTAGGTGGTAAAACCTACCTTGCTAAGCAGCTAGCAAAAGCCGATTCTGGTACTGAGGGTCCCCACAGGGGTAGGAGTCCATTGCACTTGGTGTTAGCATTCTGAAGGGCTGCACTCTCCCACTCCTCACGACCACGAGCATGCCTGAATAAAGAGATTCAAATCAAGATAGCTTTACTAACTTCTAACACTTTAATTACCTAACACAAAATGTCCTGTGTACACTTTCTAATGTCATTATTTTCTCAATCGTTTTTAAAGAACTGTTTTAGGTTTTTATTTTAAATGCATTGAAATTCTACACATCATCCTTTTCCTCTTCTGTTCCACTTTTTGTTATTCCTCTATCATCCCTTACCCTTCCAGTCCCCATCTCTTGATGCTATTCACATGATGGTCACACTAAACAAATTTGAAGTGAAACATGGCTGTGTATCCCTCGTTCTGTCAAGTTTCTTCTTACTCTCATCCACACCACTCTCATCCTACTTTCATTCTATTCCGCCAGCCACCCTCTCCATCCATCCCCACTCACTTTACATCAGCTACATGGCATTCATAGTATACAATGTTGAAGTGAGACATAGTGGTGTATCTATCACTTTTAAGAGATGCTCCATCTCACATTCTTCATACTCTTTCCCTCCCTCTTTTCTTTTCTTTTCATTCCCTCTCTCCTTCTTCTCTCTCTATCCATTCCCCCTATCCCTCCATCAATCCCCCAATCACCTTACAGCAGCTACATGGCGATCATAGTGCACAATGTTGAAGTGAGATACAGTCGTGTATCCATCACTATTAAGAGATGCTCATCTCAAATTCTTCATTCTCCTCACTCCCCCTCTTTCTCTCTCTCTTTCTCTCCTTTCATTCTATCCCTCCAGCAACCCTCTCCATCCCTCCCCACTCACTTTACATCAGCTACATGATAGTCATAGTGCAAGGTGTTGAAGTAAGATACAGTGGTGTATCTATCACTTTTAAGAGATGGTCCATCTCACATTCGTCATACGCTTCATCACTCTCTCTATCATTCTCTCACTCTCCTTTCATTCTATCCCTCTAGCTACCCTCCATCCATCCCCACTCACTTTACATCAGCTACATGGCATTCATAGTATACAATGTTGAAGTGAGACATAGTGGTGTATCTATCACTTTTAAGAGATGCTTCGTCTCAAATTCTTAATTCTCTTCATCCCCTCCCATGTCTCTCTTTCCCTCCCTCTCTTCTTTTCTTTCCCTCCCTCTCTTCTTTTCTTCCCCCTCCCCTTCTTTTCTATCCATCCATCCCTCTTATCCTTCCATCACCCCACACTCACCTTACAGCAGCTACATGGCAGTCATAGTGCACGATGTTGAAGTGAGATACAGTCGTGTATCCCTGGGTCTTGCGAGATTTGATCTCAAAGTCTTCTAACGGTGAACACTTGGTGAATGTGTAGATTCCCAATACCTGTCAAGAACAAGGGGAAATCCCTTTGAATACACTTTTTTCTAAATGAGTCGATCATCAATATTACTATCATTGTTTATATTTTTTAACAATGCGTACTGAAAATAAACTTTATAGTGCACATAACAAAGATGTTGCTATGTTCTTCAGGATTGACACATAATTAGTCAAGTCATAATTACAGATGGATGTTGAAATTACTTAGGGAGAAATACTTTCAGTTTCTTCATTGAAATGGACAAGTTAATTTCTAATTAATGTAGCTCGAAAATACCACTTACCGGTACTTTTTAGCCAAGAGAAACACATTGTCACAAAGTCAATAGCTGTTATGTAAAGCAATTCTGATTCAAAAATTAAATTAATGTAGTCTGGAGTAAAACTTAATTTGTCTGCCAGGAGCCTATGGTGTATAATTTTCAAAATATGTCACATATCTTCAGTATGCTACTTACATGTATCAAACTTCTACTTCTACATATTCCTTTTGAATATAGAATTTGCCTTCCCCCTAATACTGTTCATAGGGTTTAGAAATGATCTCCTTGTATTAGTTGATCCAAACTACAAAAACAGCTGGGAAGTGTCAAATACTAAGATTGACTTTAAGTTGGACTTAACTATGACCGGCCTTTCATTTATGCCACTATTTGCTCTCACCATTATAATCTTTAGATAACATTTTTTTCTTCAATAATTAATTATCAAAAAATGTAAAATTCTGTAGATTTGTGACCATGATTTGTACGTCCCTTGAAAGACCAATGCCAGTAAATGGTGAGAGAAAACAGTGGCATGAACGGTCTGCCATAGTTACGTCCGACTTAAAGTCGATCTTAGTCTTTGTGAAACACCCCCCCTGGAATGTCTTACCTTCTCTGGTTGGTATCTGTATCCTTCTCTACATATACAGCATGTCAAACCAGTCTCTTCCATCAATTCCTCCATCTGTTTGAAGACTGTCTTCTTGGCTGTCACTTGGCCCTTCTCGTTGGTCTGAAACGAAAAAGGGAAATTGAAGAATAATGGGATATGAACGTTAATAAATGTGAAGTGCACTACCTTATCCTTTTCTCTCCTTGCTCTTCTACTGTTTAAATGTCAATTTCTTTTCTCACTATCTCTCTCCATCACTATCTCTATCCCCCATCCCCCCCTCTCTCTCTCTCTCTCTCACACAAACTCTCTTTCTTTCTGTCTATCTGTCCATTTTTTCTTTCCATTCTTTCTTTAATTCTTCCTTCCTTCTCTCTCTCTCTTCATATTTCTTAGCTCCTGGCTGTTTCATCCTCATCGCTCTGGTTACAGTTTACCTCTAAACTTCTACCCCCCTAAAAAACTTTTAGTTTATTCTACCCCCTCTCTCAGTATCCTCCAAACTTTTTTAAAAATTTCTCTTTCAGTTTATTATACCCCCCCCCCCCTCTCTCTCTCTCATTCTTTCTATATCTCTCTGCCTTTCTTACCAACATTCCGAAAGCTCCTAGCTGTTTCATCCTCTAGGCTCTGGTAAAAGTTTACCTCTAAACTTCTATTAAAAAAAAAAAAATCAGTTTATTCTACCCCCTCTCTCAGTTTCCTCCAAACTTCTTAAAGAATTGCTCTCTCAGTTTTTAATTCTTCCTTTCTTTCTCTCTCTCTTCTTCATATTTCTTACCAACATTCCGAAAGCTCCTAGCTGTTTCATCCTCTTTGCTCTGGTAAAAGTTTACCTCTAAAATTCTATTAAAAAAAAAAATTCAGTATATTCTACCCCCTCTCTCAGTTTCCTCCAAACTTCTTAAAAAATTGCTCTCTCAGTTTTTAATTCTTCCTTTCTTTCTCTCTCTCTTCTTCATATTTCTTACCAACATTCCGAAAGCTCCTAGCTGGTTCATCCTCTTTGCTCTGGTAAAAGTTTACCTCTAAAATTCTATTAAAAAAAAAAAAATCAGTTTATTCTACCCTCTCTCAGTTTCCTCCAAACTTCTTAAAAAATTTCTGTTTCAGCTTTTTATTATCCCCCAACCCTCTCTCTTGTTCCCTCTATCTCTCTGTCTTTCTTACCGACATGCCCAGAGCACCTAGCTGTTTACATCCTCATCGCCATGGCGAGCCTCTTCTTCTCTGCTTTTGTCTGAGCCCGGACCTCGTCAATCTTCTTGGCGACGGTCAGGTTTGGTTTGAAAGCTTCCACCCCCCCCCCCGCTCTCTCTCTCTCTCTCTCTCTCTCTCTCTCTCTCTCTCTCGTTCTTTCTATATCTCTCAGTCTTTCTTACCGACATGCCCAGAGCACCTAGCTGTTTCATCCTCATCGCCATGGCAAGCCTCTTCTTCTCAGCTTTAGTCTGAGCCCGGACCTCATCAATCTTCTTGGCGACCGTCGGGTTGGACTTGAGCGCTTCCATCAGGTTCTCAGAGAGCGACCCGATGCCTTCTTCAGAAGAGATCTGCTCCATCTTATGAATGGCTGGGATGATCTCATTCCCTGCCAGCAGCTATGGGGCAAAAAGAATGGGAAATAGTTTGTTACAGATATCCTCACCATTATGATCGTATACTTCATCTTTAAAATCACCTTACCACCATCATCATAATTGCATCTTCTTTTTCATGATTATTTAAGCCCCTTCATGATCATCACCAAATATCATCACCTTTATTAACATAAAAATTACTCCTCTCCCTCTTCTTCTCCTTCTCATCCCCCTCCTTAGCCTAATCATGGTCAACCTCCCCTTCCTCATAATCATTATCAACATCATCATCAACAATGCTATCATTTTTTCCTAATTTCTAACCATTATCATCTAATCTCCTCATCATCAACATAATACATATAATCATTATCACTAACATAACTCCTATGCATCCACATTTTATCACTTCAATACCTGTACATATAATAACAGAAAGAAACATCAAACTCAAACACCTTCATCATCTTTATTATCATAGTCATCATCATAATTAGACCACTGTAACCATGACTACCACCACCACAATGACAGACATGAATGCATCTCACTCCACTTACCTGTGATTTTGGATGCCCGGTACACAATCCCGTCAGTATACGTAGAACGTAGGGCAGGGCAGGCTTGGACAAGAATTCTTTCCAAGGCAGGGAGTCGAGGCTGAAATAAAGTAAGATGTCGGCAGTACAGAGGTTTAGAATGAAGTATGTAGTGATTTATGCCTCAGTCACACCAACAAGACTGATACAAGAATGACAGCTGGGGAGTTTTTCACAAAGACTAAGATCGACTTTAAGTCGGACCTAACTATGGCAGGCTGTTCATGCCACTGTTTGCTCTCACTATTTACTGTCATTGGTCTCTCAAGGGACGTACAAAGCATGGTCACAAATCTACAGAATTTACATTTTTCGAAAAAATATTATCTAAAGATCATAATGGTAAGAGCAAACAGTGGCATGAATGAGCTGTCATAGTTATTCCAACTTAAAGTCTATCTTGGTCTTTGTGAAACACTCCCCAGACCTAACAAAATATGACATTACCCCGCATGCCAAGAGTCTGTCTGTTTGGAGTCGGCGTGGTGTTGGTTTGGTTGTGTAACTGAGGTATTAACTATTATATGTACATGAGATACAATGAAATTACAATGTATGAACTTGTAAAATTATTTATCTTGTGTCAACATATTAAAGACAATTTCTACATACCGATACATGTTATCAAATTAAATAGAAAAATAAAGTCTTTTTCACTCCAAAATATTAAATTATTCAGACAATAAGTTAAATAGTGATAAAACTAAATTAGATATGGGTTTTTTAAAGTCTTTTCATTGGACATGAACCCATTTAATCATGTGTCTGAGATACATCAGGCTAGGATCTACAGAGAATGCATATTATAACCCCCCCCCAAAAAAAAAAAAATTGCATTCAACTGGTTACAACAAAATAAACCTTCACAGTGTTACCAAGTGTTTATCAACCATGCTTCTTACAACCTTATTTGTATCAAAACAAAATAAAAACATATGGTCAACCAGAGACCACTTTACACATAAATCTAGATCGAATCTTACTTGCTAGCAAGAGGAATCTTGCGGCTGACATATTTGATGGCATCCTTGACTATCTCTTCCTCTATCATCATATCCTTCAGCTGAACACCATTCACATTGTTCTAAAGATAAAAAAATAAGAAAATACAATGATTATTAAATCAATCTATTTAGATTTTTGATTTAAAAATCATAGTTTTACATCTATATCACTTTGCTTTTGATGATACAATCATCTGTAGATCTTACAATCCATAGCAAATTAATATAGAGTATATAATACAAATAAAGCACTTTTCGGAATTACACACAGCACTTTTGCAAATACACTGTTAAAAAGTTACAAATGGAATATGGCAATGATTTGCAAAATTAATGTCTCTTTATCTTCCATATGCATTAAAACTTATTAGCCATATACTCACAATTCAAGTATATGAAGGAGATGAAAATATCAAAAGCATGCAGCAATAATTTCAGTGAACTAAATACACAGAAAGACTGTCCTGCACAAAATTTCGGATTTTAATATGTTCTTCATAAAGATGCATACGATCAAATAAGTCACACCAATCATGTCTGACATGTATCAATTTCTTGAAGAAAAAAAAAGACCAAACAAAACAAATAAGCTAACAAAGGCAACATGAGGTATTTGACTTTATGATTATGTTATTTCACCAGTATTTTGCACAAAACAAGCATTTTCAAAGCACAAAAAAAAAGAGTCTGTGGTAGTGACGTTGATCTCTCCATGCTTACCTCTATGCCGGCTGTAATGACACAGAAGCTTTCTACATGAATCTCATCATCTTGAGAGTGGTCCACATCAAATCTAGTAAGGAATGAAACAAAGTTAGCATGAGATTAGATAATCATCATACTGAGACACACAAAACAGTTCATTATCAGTTACTGCTAGGTGCAACTGAGTCATCCCCAACTCCTGGACTAATTTTCTCCAAGTTATTTTTTCGTGTGTCAGTTTGCACATCTCTGTTAGAAATTATCAGTACAAAACAGCTTATTATCAGTTTAATACTGTTAGGTGAAACCAAATCATCCCCAACACAACACCTGGTGATCACATGGACAAACTGTCTCCAAGATATTTTGTCTTGTGTCATCAAATTGCACTACTCTGTTAAGGACTTGTCTTTGAATCCTTTTAAAATGGCCCGATAAAACTTTCCAAAGTATGTTTTCCAGAGGGATAACATGATTGAAAACCATGAATCACAATATCTGTTATGAATATTGTCAAAACATGAAAACCCGTCAAAGTCATGAAAACCCGTCAAAGAAATGTAATAATTTTATTATGTGCAAAGTTTATTTGTATAGTTTCTTGAAAAAATGAATTGTGTATGAAATCAAATGTAATATCTTTGTTTACCTTTCTGTTGGAAACAAAATAAATATGAATATGAATATGAATATGAATGAACACTGTATCTCTACTGAAACTGCATTGTATTAAATTAGATGGGTTGAGATTTCTAGATACCATTGTAATAGGATTATATTAGCTCACCTATGTCTAGAGTGGGCATATAATTAGAGTTAACATGCCTTGTCTAGACACCGAGCTGTGATTTAGAGCCATAAGATTTATTTTTAATGACTAAAAGGAGATGCAAGACTTACTTGTCCAAGTCTAGGTAGGGTTTGAAGTGATGGATGAGGGTGCGCATCTTGTCCCCCTCACCAAACGAGAGAAACGGGATGATCCGCATCAAGCCCTGCAGAACACTGGCATGGCTACGGACAAACGGGCTATTGATGCGATCCAGTAGAGCTACCAGCTGAGCTTTATCACATGAGAGGATCACAGACGGCTGCAAGAAAATTATGAAAATAATTAATCATCATTAGGCTAAAGAAACAGCATATTCATAATATTCTGTACTATCAAGTGTCAAATTATGTGTTTCAGTTCTTTGCTTCATTGTCAAATCAAACATTGTTCCATTTTCAGTGCAGGTAAATTTCTCATGCTTTTAGCTCTATGTATTACAGAAAGAAAGACATCATTGTTTCAAATGGATACGTCACCAGACTGTGAATCACATGGTTAAAGGTTTGAGTCCCCCCGCAGCACTAATGTCCTTGGGAATAACATTAATCCACATCTTCCACTCTTCAGCCAGGTATAGTGAATGGGTACCTGGTAGGAATTTATTCCTCAGATGATTATTGTGTCTTAGGGCAGACTGGCTTAAAGCCAGGGTAATAATACTACTTTTTAGGCACCTTGAGCATCCCCTGGGATGGATATGTGCATAATATAAATGTAGCTATTATTATCATTAATATTTTTTCATATTTTTTAGCCCAATAACATAGCACAAACTTATACACGTACCTTTATTCTAACGCAGCATGTGCCAAAAGAGGTACGAAAAGTGTTACATAGTCAATATGTGATCACTTCATTTGCTTTGGGTCTTTGGAACAGAAATTAGGAATGGATCACTGCCATAGAAAGAACGATTTGGAGGACAAGATTCAGGCTATTTACAATGTAAGCTCGGCTTTGAGCCTGGACATTCATTCAATTACAAAGTTTCAGTAAGCTAATTAAACAGCAGCACATAGAGATGATAGCCTGAAGTGTTAGTACTACTGACTCACCTTTCCACCCTCTAGAGGCTCATTGTTTGCCTCCATCAATATCACCTCCATGATGGAGAGCAGTTGCTCGGCAACCATGGCTCCGCCTCCAGATCCAGGTTCCTCGTGTTCAGCCAGGAGCACCTTTAGACAATAAAATGAATTAAATGAATCAAAATGAAGCAAATTTACAGAATGACAGTAACAAAAACTGAAAGTAAAAACTCATATTTTTTATGGAGGGCTTCGAATCCTCTGGAGAAAGTGCTTTATAAATTCCTCAGATTATAATACAAGGGGTTTCCAGGTAATGAACACATATATTTTTGTTTTTGATAGAAAAACAGGACAAGTAATAAAAGTTTAGATTATGATAGGGTAGTATTACTGGGTGTAATAAAAGAATATACCATTATGTTACCTACTCTGATGGGAGGCTGGATATTACAGATTTAGCCATTTCAAGAACTCAATGTTAATTTTATTTTTTTCTCACAAGCCTCATTAAGTGGCAACTGTTTGTCTTCTTATCAGATGATATGAACTTTGTTTTCATATCGGTACGTGTACATGTATATGACCCGGGCATGAATTCGTACATCTGGATTTTTCAATTAATGATTAGCCATTGAGAACAGCAAGAATACTGTTTAGGGGCAGCATTCTTATTTCAGTGTAACACTGGGGGTAATTTTTCTATCTACATGAGCATTAACAAGGAGTAAATCTTTGCATAATAGTTCATTGTTATATCATACACGTAACTTAAAAATTAAAAGGGAAGTCCACTCTGAAATTAAGTTGGTTTCTGGATTCAATAGAAGCAGAAAAATGAGAGGAACAGGTCAGTGAAAGTTTGAGCAAAACCCCATTAAAATAAGAAAGTTATGAATTTTTTAATTTGTGATCAATCAAACACAAATTGGCAACACTGTGACGTATCATGCAATCTCCTCTCAAATTTATGTTTGATTGATCGCGACTTTAAAAATTCAAAACTTTATGATTTTTAATCAGAATTAATTTAATTGTTAAGATATTCATGATTGGAAATCAATTTTTTTTTCTTTTCTTATAACGCTACAATCTATTGGGGTAAAACCGGTCACTCAAAGAATTTTTACTTTTTTGAGGCACTTCTTGATCATTTTGAAGAACAATTTTTTGTAGGGCTTCAATATTACACAATATCACAGACACTGATAACACATAGGGCCATGCATCTCAGATTAAACATTGTTAAACGATGCCTTTAAGAGAATATGAGAGAATGTTTACCCTATTGAGAACAGCGAGCATGATGTTCAGGGTCTGCATTCCAGGTTCGATGAGTCGCTGACGATTAGCCTTGACCTTTGAACTGTAGTTGAAGAGCTTGAGAAGGACGATCAAAAGCTGCTGACCTCTGACCAGGTCATTCAAGTACGCCAACCTGGTGAGAAAAGGAGAAAAGCATGTCTGTACTAGTTTGGCCAGAAGGGATTAGACCACCCAGCATGGTCACTGACAGGTGGTTATCTCATCAAATCAGCTCTCAGTTAAAATAAGAAAAAGAGGATCATGGGGGACCAACAGGCACCGCTTAGGCATTGTTTTCTACATAGAGGGAGCAAGTAGTGCAGTGGGGCTTTAAGATATATTTTCTTTCACTCAGAGTGTACTTATAAAACATGGGATGTAAATGTTGATATACAGGTTGTTGTTGCTGAATCAGACTTAACTGTGTAAAGTGTATATCTAACTTACCTGTGTAGCATGACTGCCAGTCCATCACATTCACTCATCACAGAAGCAAGCTTGTATACATCCTCATCATTGGTGTCCTCATCTATATAAACACAAATTTGAATGAACATAAGAGTAAAATGAAGTTTAGTGTCCATGAAAAATAGGATGAAAATCTTGCAAGAAGCAAACATAACCTATGTAGTATCATGGATATCTTCTACATGTAATTGTTCTTCAAAACACTTTATCACAATTCCTTCAAAATGTGAAGTTTCTTTTTAGAAAATAGTAACTGACTTCAAGACAATACAAGCATGATGAAGATGCTCATAATCCTATAGGAATGCAATAAAAAGGTTTAAAGCCTCAGAATGGCATAAATCATCTCTTATGAAGTATTGCTTTACTTAACCTGTCAAAAAGACACTTGTGGATGAAAACACATCAAAACTCTACACTAGATCATCATTAACACGGATGGATTTATAGGTCTAATAGATGCACCTTGAAAGGTAAAATAGATTGATTGCATCTTACACCAAGCACAATATGTTAACATCAAACTATTGATGTTAAGCTAAATTATCCACTGACTCAATCTGTTTATTACCTTATATGGAGGTGTTACAGATGTATTAATTTGAAGCTTACACTGCATGTCTTTTTATCTTTTTTAGTTTGACACTTTACGAAAACACTCAATAATCTTACCATTGGTGTTATCCACAGATACAATAAACTCTTTAGTAACCTTATATGAAGGTTATACAGATGTATTGATTTGAAGCTTACACTGTGTGTCTTCTTTTTTATATAAAGTGGAACACTTAACACCCTCATGCAAACACATAATAATCTTACCATTGGTGTTATCCACAGATTCAATAAACTTCAGTAAACTTATGTGTATATGAAGGTTATACAGATGTATTGATTCGAAGCTTACACTGTATATCTTTTTTTTTAGTGGAACACTAAACACCCTTACCATTGGTGTTATCCACAGATTCAATGAACTCTTCAGTGGCATCCCCTAGGAGACCTCTCATCCTGTATGTGATACGCATCGGTTCTCCCTATCAAAGACAAACAAAATGCACAATGCTTTCAATAATAGTTTTAAGACACCTTGGACTAACTGAGAAAAAGAGGGATATACAGTTTACAGGCATGTTGGGGAAAAGGAGAGAGATAGATGGAAGACGAAAAAGAGCAATGTAAAAAAAAAAAAAAATCATATATCAAATACTTTTTAGAAATAATATTAGAGACAGGGTGGGGGGAGGGGGGGGGGGTGGGAGTGAGCAACAACTGATAAGATAAATATCTTTAAGCTAGGTGAGGCGAAAAAGAAAGCATAAAAGTACACAGGGAGTATATAAGAGAGATAGTGATACAAAATGAGAACAAACAATGAATCAGAAATAAATAAAAGGGAAGATATTGAGAGAAAGAGTCAGAGAGAATTCGGAAGATGAGAGAGAAAAGAAAGATGAAGTTTTGCATTGAACTCGATGCAAATTTTGTTGGGTCCTTTTATGACTTTCGGTGGCTCTTTTTGGCATTTTGGGGGCAAATTTGCCATGTAATTTTCCCCCTGATCCTACCTCGTTATCAGGGCACCAGATCTTCTTGTAAACATCCTTTACAGGCAAGTCCAGACTCATGATCTTGTTGTTCACTAGCAGCTACAACAACAAAATTAACAAAACAATTATCAATACAAGTTGTCTTCAGGATACGTTCCAAACCTACAGCATCATATTTTACATGAACTACAGTAACAATATCAACATCAAAAGTCTTAATTACATTAAGTTTTCATTTCTAGTTGAATTGTTCTTATATATCTTTGTATTTTATGTTCAGATTCAATGTATGTTAATGCATTATTGCTTTTAAATAGAAATGTAAAGCGCATAGAGAATTCTACAAATTTGTATGCCTTATTTAAGCACTTTTAATTATTATTATTATTCAGGTGGGACTTTTAATGTGCTCTTTCCTAACGATACAAAGTACTGAATACAAACTGGGTACTAATTTCCAAAGCTCTTTGGAAGCGCATACTGACGTTATACTCTAATGTGATACCTGTAGCTCTTTGGAAGCGCATAGGGATGTTATATTATAATGTGATATGCGCTATACAAGAACAAAAATGATATTATTATTATTATTATTATTATTATTATCATTACTGCTACTGGCTAGCTTTAACTGAGCTTACATTCTACAGTGATCATGCATTAATGGAATTTCTTCCTACCACTCTTTACCTGGGTAAATTGAGGAACATACACATGTATGATAGTAATATGGGGTTGCATACATTGTTGTTGTTGTTATCAGAGTCTTTATCTTATTGTTTAAATTTTTTAAACCAAAAGCAGAAAATACTTACACCATTAAAAGATACAAGAATTGAGATGAAATTAAAACCCTAATTTATTTACCTCCATTCCTGTGTCATCTTCCAGAAGAGCAATCAGCTCACAATCTGTTGAAAAGAGCAACACACAAAATGAAAGTGAATTTAAAAGTACTATATTACATATTCATGAAAGTACTTAACCAGTAGCATTTTGGAAATAGACTTTCCGTCAAGAGTCTCAAAATTTGTTTAATATTCCATTGATTTTGTAGTCCCAATTTTGCTATCATATGGAGGGCAATGAACAGGATCCCACCTAGGAAACAGAAAAACAGTAATTAGGTTTGATGAATTTCAAGCTTATTTTCTAAAAAACATAGCACCTCTGTGGTTCGCTTTTTAGCAAACCTGCTTCCAAGGTTCACAATTTATTTACACAAATTTCATCATAATGCTGGTAACTGCAGAGGAATTCAATAGCACTTAACCAATATCATGACATGCATGTATAATAATTTCCAAACAAGAGAGCAAAGTTCAGATAAATGTCTCAACAGATGTTTAATTTCACACAATTTATCCCATGAAGCTACTTGAACTAAAAAGTAGACTTTGTATTAACATCATGGCACTTTTCTTCTAGCTACTTGAATGGACTGAAACAAGTTAATATCATCACAGCTGAAACTACCACTGTTATGCCAATGTCGTTCCAGCTGATTTACAGCGTTATTTCTTCTGAAGTATGACAAGTCTGTATAAAAAACTTGAAAGATTTGTAAGTAACTATTTCATTGTTTATGCCCTCATTTCATCTCATATAGACTTTTATAATTCTCTTATGTATCACTTGCCTCAAACATAACTTTCTCATTTGCAGAGATTACAGAATACTGCTGCCTGTATTGTTATTTTATCAAAATACTCAAAATATGAGTACTGTACAGAGAGATGTTATCAGTCCTTGAAAAGTGGTATCATATTTTTAAATTTATTATTTCAGGGCAAAGGAATTTGGTCATAACATTGTGTCACGCATGTTTTCTTTATGTGAAATCAAAATTATTAACAAAATAAGATTTTTCTTTTCTTCCAGACTGCTCATACCATGATACTGACCATAAACTGAATACGACTGCAGCTAGACACACTACTTTGGAAACAGAATTATTTTTACCAATGGAAACTTATCAGACACATCATATACCAATTGCAGTATATTGCAGCTAGAGCATCAAACCACTTCCAAAGATTTCTGTAAACCAGGATTGGATCATTCCTACTTTTTCGGTTGTCAGGAGATTTCACCCAGAAGCAGATCTTCAGATCAGAATTCACTTTCTATGTCAATTGGATAAAGTTGCTGATATTGTACAACATACACGCCGTTGTCACTAAGGACCTTGCAGATGTTCATTGAAAGTTCATTGAAATGAGCAAAACTGAGCCGTGGAAACTGTGTAACATATTGATCAAAACAGAAACTGTTTACCTATAATAGTATTTTTATGCACATATTAGGTCATTTATATTTGTTAGCTCACAAATTTAAATAGATATTAAAAAAAAAATCTTTTCAGTGTTTCTCATCTATTTAGTCTAAAGTTTTAGAGGAAAATGGAAAAGAGCCTTCTCCTTATTTTTACTATGTTGATGATATTCAGCAAATACATGGGATGTAATTCTACAGTTATATATGTTCTTGAAGGTACAGAGGCAAAGCTAATTTTCAACTATCCATGTGACAGTACGGAAGTTACATTAAGGCATGGATACCAATCACCATTTTACAATTCTGCAAATCCTGGTTCTAGCTCAATGCCTCCCAATAAACATGTATTGCAAGTAAATCAGAATAGAAGTGAAAGTGAAATGTGTTCAATCCATCTAACTATTGACCCTGCTTCAAGAGATGACGTAGGTACATATATTCTCACTGTTTATAAGAATGGGGTCATGCTACCCGACTATCCGAGAATTGGGTTACGTGTTAACTATCCTCCCGGCAAGGCTTCGTGTGAATCAAGTAATGATTATAATGATGGTGAGTGGGTTTCGTTACACTGCACAGCTCCACTCGGAACTATAGCAGGTCACATCATTTGCTATCAAAATGGTAAGAGGGTTCCTTCATTAACTCAACCCGTAGAAAACAGAGACAAATTCAGCCAGATCAAATTGGTTTCATCAGCATACCCTGTATATTGCTGTTCAAATATCTCAGAACATTATACTGACATATGTGATTGTACCGACTGCTGCTGGGAGCCCATTCATAATATCCAATGCACTGACATACAGGTACATGTACCTTGTCCTGTTACCTTCTCTACACAAGAGCCCACATTATTCAATGACCACATAAATACAGACCCTACTCTTCCTTCCACTCCCGAAACTGCAACAGAAAAGTCTATAATCCAAGAGAAATGTTTATTTCCCAATAACATGCTGAACATATTAATTGGTATTTTTAGTGCTGTGATCATGATCTTAGCACTATTAGCAGTGATGTACCGTCGCAAGATTAAGGAAAACCGGAAACTTACCGCACAACTGCATGACAGGAATAATAAAAATAAACAATGTATCATGTTATAATTAAGTACCATGTTCATCAGGCAAGATGCTTAAGGCAATACAAAGTACACATTATGATAACAAAAATAAAACAGAGTATACAAAAATACATCATAGCACATTTGGTATCCAAATATTGATAATGATTATGATAATAGTGATGTACCAACTGTTAAAATGGAGTTGTTTGCTTCAACCTTTTCAAATGTATGTATATACACTGTGCAGCAGAAGACAATAATAGTAATATTAAATTTGTTTGTTTAATATTCTATTTTTGAGCAACATTTTCAATTTTGGTTTAATTAATATTTCAATTCGTTTATTTTTACATTATTTTATCTATAATCTCTTATTTTAATTTCATAACATTTCTAGGTTCCTCACATGTTTGCTTGCACTTGGCAGGTAATTCGTAGAATTGGGAGATGTCTATTTCAACCTATTCAGATATATACACTGTATTTACAAGTAAAGCAATATTATATGAAATACCGGTACAAAGGAAGACAAATATGTATATACGATGTGAAGCAGAATGAGTATTCTATTTTCTAAGCAAAATTCCATTTATTGTTCAATAGTTTACTTTTCTGCAATTTTCAATTTTAGTCTAATATTAACAAAAAACTGTGCAGTATTTAGTTTCTGGTTACATCATTTTATCTACAATCTCTTAATTTTGGTTTGAAAACATTTCTCGGTTTCTCACATATTTGTGTTCATGTTTATACTGCTTGCAGTTAGTTTGTAGTATATTGGGAGATGTCTGTTTCAACCTTTTCAGATATAAACACTGTATTACAAATATAGCAATAATTCTATTTTTCTGCAATAGAATATTTTCGTAAATTTTTCTATTTCTCTGCAGTATTTTCAATTTTAGTGTAATATTCAATTTTTTTGTGCAATATTCAGTTACTGGTTACATCATTTTATCTAAAATCTCTTATTTTGGTTTATACAATGCTTACTAAGATTCTTGCAATCTCATTGGTCAATTCTTGATCACATGACATGCGCTAAAAGTACTGTTGAACGGCATCATTCTCCAGCCGTGCAATTCCGTTTGATCTTTTCGCACCATTGCACGCTGACGTCACTAACGATGTACAAAGTATATTGTGAGGTAAGTGAAGTCACTGTGCAATGGTGGAATTGATCAAACGAAATTGCACTCTGCGTAAAAATAAACATAAAGCATGGTACGTGCATGGTATGCTGCCTGCTTAATAATAGTGCGCGCTCACTATCGGCAATTTCATCAATAAAAAAACAAACAAAGTCGCTGAGATATAGGCCTAGGAAAACTGTTCTTTAAAAAATATTGTTTTAATCTTGTTAACGTATTTTGCATTCGGCGAAACATGAGACGCTCCATTCAACTCGGCTGCAGTTGAAGAGAGCATCTCTTATATTGCATCTCGTGCAAAATCTTGTACCATTGCACTCATGGCCATTCACTATTTGTATATTAACAGCATTTCTTGGTTTCTTACATGTTTGTGTGTACATGTATATGTTTATACCTCTTGCAGGTAATTTGTAGTATTCAGAGATTTCTGTTTCAAATTGTTCAGATATATATACACTGTATTGAAAGCATAACAATATTCCACTTTGTGCAATACTCTACTTTTGTGCAATAAATCCAATTTTCTAGAATTTTGTGTGACATCATCTCTTACTTTGTATTTGACAAATATTTCTTGATTTCTCGCATGTTATAGTGCTTGCATGCAATGCACAGTATTGCTAAATTTCAAAGGGGTCAATATTTGTTGCATTATTTTAAATAATTTACCTTCATGTATGGGGTAGAACAAATAGCCTGTTCTTAATGCATGTATATTTGAAATAATAGTGATGAGCTTCTTCTTCTTCAAAAAAAATTCTAAATAGTTTTTTCTTTACAAAAAAACAAAACGATTTAAAGGCCAACAATCTAGCACTACGGCCGAGTCAAATCCTGTAGATTCAATATTGTATTAAACTGGAACAGATTGTAGATTTTTTGGAAATTTTTTCTCATTAAAGTATACTTTGTTGTACTTTATTGGTTAAGTGATTTTGATATCGCTTTATTTTTAAAAGCATTGTGACGTCAGGAGCAATTAAGAGCATGTATAATGTTTCTCAGTCAAGCTGTTGAGGGTGAAAATGTATTTTGTTCTCCTTTCTTGTTTAAAGCTATTGTATATGACAGTGAAAAAATATGAGAGAGCTAAATTTGAGTTGGCAAAATTGTGAGTCTGCATTGTGATAATGAACTCTGTGTAGTGCATAAATTACACTTCACTATATGCACATGTAAGGGTCTGGTTTGGTAAAAGATGTTGCAAATCAAAGAAATGTTTCTACCTGGTTTATAAAAGGTTGAGAAGGAGTAAAGAAAGAAACTCTGAATGATAAATTTAATTGTGTTAATATTTAAATGGCAATTAGGTAGGCAATACAGTATAGAAGATGTATGATGGACAGTAGGTCATTCAGAGGGGTCGAGCTTATCATCTAGGTATGTTGTGGCCTTTGAACATTGAACTTTT